ATTTAACCTTCACCATGTTTGCATGTGCATGCATCAAAAACCTTTTAGAGTTGTGGCAGATAACTTAAAGGCCACATCTCATAAACAAAGTAGAGAACACGTACCATTCAGAACACTCCTTCGACTGCTTAATAGCTCATGTAAACCATATCCACCTTCAACAGTCGTTATTTCCCATGCATAGCCCTACAATTAGCATATATAGTAGACTAAAGCCATCTTCTAAAATTACTAAAACTGCAAGCAGTAATTTAAACTTATTAAGTACAGGACATTGCAGAACAAGCAATACAAGTGGGAAGAAATTTTGGAACTTCTCAGTTAGATTCACAAAATATATGATTGGAACCACCAAAAGTTTTCAATTATAGCATTTAAATAACATTTTAAAAAATTCAAAAAATTATCAACATTATATATCCAAACAAATGACTAGATGTACATGTACCATAGCATAGCACAATATGTAGAATAAATCACCTTGCTGACTGTAACTATCCGATCAGCAGTCACAATTGCACCCTTTAAAATATTGACAGCTTCCCCTGTGTCAAGAGCATGTGTCCTTGCCCATGTAGGAAACACCCACTCCAATGCCCCATACCACTCTGAAGGCAATCCCAAATTCTTAAAGGTTGCTGCAGGTTCCACTCCCTTGCCCATAGAAAAAAATATATTTAAAACTAGTATTGCAAGGATGCACTTGCACAATATGATTTGTAAGAGTTCAGTTTACAAGTCTTACAGCCTGAACAAACCTATAAGGCAAGTTTTTACGATCTGTATTGGCGTACAAGGAAAAGAGAAAATCAAGAAGAAAGACGACGGAATAACCATGAGAAAAGCATCTACCTGATGAGCAAGGTTATGAATTAAAAGGATGCTCCGAGCATCCTTATAAACTCCAAATGGACGGTATTTGGAAGCCAAAAGCCTGAATAACGTAACATGTAAAATCCAGTCTCATAAAAATTGCAAACTTTATACATGACCATGATATGAATGTTGAATCAAGTTCCTATAATAAAAAATTGTCTCTCAACCAAAGTATCATCTGCATTAAAGAAACAAAAATATACCATCCAAGATATCTATCATATAAGGGGATGATCAGCATGTGCAGTGTAAAGATGATATATCTCTCTTCGGAAAGCTACTATGTATGTTCTTCCCTTAACAAGAATGAATGTTGCAAGAATCATTAACGCAGATGTGGCGAACAACCTGCTTCCACATTTGTATTTAATCAGAGTTTTCCCATTCTTAAAGCAGCCCATTTCTTTCCTTTTTAATTCCAAATTCAAGGAAAGGCAGAAGAAAGGAAATGGTAAATCGCTTGCTGAAATTAATAGTAGCACACACATAAGTACACTAGGAAAAGTAGCAAAAAGATAAAGTGCTGTAAGAATGAAGTAGCAAACTAATTAATTGATAAGTAGACAAGTTCCAAACACTTGCAAATAAATGAGATATAAAGTCAGACCAATAAAAAGGGGAAATCAAAATGCAATGATAAGCAGGGAACATCTTACACAGGCACTAGACCAGCATGCCAATCATTGACAAGGAAGAGACACTTCTCTCCATAGGTATACCCTCCCAATGGAAGCACTAATGGAGCTTCACATGCTGCATGGCAAAGTAAGGTAAACCGAAACTGTAAAGCCAAATAAGAGAAAAGCCTGTCATTTAATGAATAGAAAATTGATAGCAAATTCATGTTCCACAAAAAACAACCAGGACAAAAAGAAGTATACCTGGTTATCACCGAAAGCACCATGACAGTCACCATATGGATTTCCAGGTCTATGGTAAGAAGGATGGTCCACAAATACCTTATAATGGAGGGAAACCACTTCGCATTATTAAAATTTTCTCCCACTCCACCAAACTTGACAAATAGATGAATAAAAGTTATAACCTTTTAGTTCATTGCCCTCATAATTCTTTAATATCTCTCTTCATGTACATATTCATGCGAGACTTTTTAGATTAGAACAGAGATTCTTACCCAATCAACACCCCCCCAATACTCATGGAAGAATGCAACCTCTTGCTCTCCTCCAAAGCAATATATCTTGATGCGCTGATCCATATCCAGAGCACCTGCAAGATTTTTGTCTGCAGGGTTACCATGCAGGTATCTAGGAGAGACAACCATGACTCGGTGTCCGCGTCCAGCCAGTGTTATGGGCAAAGAACCACAAACATCTCCTAATCCACCTGTCTTTGAATAAGGTGCAGCTTCAGCAGTAACAAAAACAATATCGTAGGTTATTCTGGTTTGGGGTTTTTCTTCTTCAATTTCCTCATCTTTTTCTTTGGTATCAGTAGTCACACATTCATGAGAGTCAATGACTTCATAGTCACCTATGATTCAAGTTAATATACTGCAGTTAGCCAGCAGAAGGCCATTTTATCTTTAAGAACAAAATATTGTTAAAGATACTAGCTAAAGAAGATCAAACTTAAGTGAGTCAAGAAAAGTGGCAAGATTTGAGAGATAATGTAAACTCTGGAATCAACAATTGGAGGGAATGCATAAATAGAAACTTTCATTGGGGAATTATCTAGAAAAATGAAATTAAATCAAAAGAACAACTTTGGCAATGACAATTGAGAAAAGAAGTGTACTTAAATGTTCCAGATAATCAGAAGTTTGCATATGATAGCACCTACAGGGGGGAGTAGAACTTTATATCCCAATTAATCGTTTCTCCACTATTCTCACAAGGCAAGGCCTAGTTAGGAAGCCAGATATTTATAAAAACCTCTCGGTTTCTTGACCTCGTGGACAACATACAAGGCTTAAATGATAGCCTACGTTTTAATAGTAACCTTTATAGGTGAAAGTTGTTGACTCACATGCACAGTGATGTGGATAACAGTGAAGAATCCACCATGAATAGTTAATAATCACAAAATGCGAATTCTACCAAAGCCCGCGTCCTTATAATATGAATCTTGACCAGCAAGAAGTTCAAGAATCATCAATAAATAATCACCATTTCTCACTCAGCTTTGCTTTGGCACATTAATAAATAACGTATTTAAACAAAATCTAACCATCGAAGAGGAATGGTATATAAGTATGACAAAGTGGTCAATTTCTGTTCCATGGGATGGCTGGGACCATCCCGTGGAATTCAACCAAAACATGCACGCAAATCTACGAGTGCACTTTGCCTGATGAAAGAGAAATGCCCAGTTTAGCGGATCGACACTTGACACAGCTTGTAAGTGTACTTGCTTGGTCCCATCAATGGGGTAGAGCATGTGATTGATTTTACAATGTTTCACTACCAGCTATCAAAATGACGCATAAACTATAATAATAAAAAAAAAATCAACCGTTAAAAGGAATTTGGAGCTAGAATCATCAGCCGATCTCTGCTTCAAGTCTTCTAGTCCAAGATCCCTTTTTAATATATTTTAACATTAATAAAAGAAAGACAAGGCACCAGATTTTCATCAAAAAAGAAAAAAAAAAAAAAGAAACCAGCTTCATATAGTCGTAGGATGGAGTATCAACGTTAAATAACCCAATTTATCGTTCTCTTTAAAAAAATAAAGAAAAAGTGGAAAGTTTAAAGTGTTTTAGTAAATATTGAAAGACAATAAGAAAAATCATTCAAAATCTTCAAAGGATCATTATCATTATATTATAATTAACTGGCAACGTTAAAAGTAACAGACTTATAGATATAATTTATTATAAAGAAAGAGATCTTGAATACTATTTGGTTGTTTCTAGGAGTAGTGTATCAAAACAGAGAAGGAAGGGAAAAAAAACCAAACAAATGAAAGAAGAAATCCCAACAATTAAGACATGTGACAATACCAGAAGGAGGAATCAAGTGCAAGCCAATAACAGAGCCAGAGTCCTCCCTGTCTATTCCCAGCATAAGACCACGCTTTTCCCTTTCGTCTTCTTTCTTTTCTTCTTCTTCTTCTTCTTCAACAGCATTGGAACTAGAGCCGTCGGCTAAACCGCCAAACCCACCTCCATTTCCACTTTCCTCCGATCTTACAACCGTCAACTTCACATTTTTAAAACTCCTTCTCAAAAAATGACCAAAACCCAGTTGCTTACTCGGCATAAAACTGCAAACTTTACGAGATATATTGGTGGATATTTTGCAAGAAAGTACACGACTTAGTGTCAGAGACTCCATGGGAAAACAGAGAGTTTAGCGAGAAAATAAGACAGTTTTTACAGGAACAGAGGGGAATAGTCGAGAAGAATACGAAAGGAATCGTGAAATCGGAAGGACCGAAAGAGGAAGATCTCAGAAAAGAAAGACGCCTGTGACTCTGGTAATAAAGGCTAAAAAGAATAAAATCACACTTCCACTTTTCCTTTCCTCCATTTGTACAGAGACACAGAGAGGAGTTATTTTTATCTCTCTCTCTCCTTCTTGGGCCTTTTAAGAGTGAAAGTCCCAGTAAAAGCGCGAAAGCCGAAAATTTGGATGCCCTGTGGAGCTCCATACGGCAGGAGCTTTACAAAAGTGTTGGGATTTTGCCACGTCATTGATAGAATGGACATTCCTGACGTGGCAGGTAGCAGTTGGAAAAGTCAATGATAGAAAACAAACGGAATAAGATTGGCGCTTTTGAACGACAGCGTTTGATTTCCTTTGTCTTTCCGGAGAAGATCCATGCTCTGTCACGTGAAGTACGCCATAGACTACCAGTTGCAAGACCCGGTTTGGTTTCATATTTCCAACCACAAACATCAAGCCGGCTTCTTCGGAAAATGGAAATGAGGTGTATTTGAGTTTTTTTATTGAATAAAAATTTCTTATCTTGAAAATTATGCCTTGTATCTGTTTGAAGGAGATAATTTTGTATTAAGTTTTGGTTGTTAAACAGATTAGCTCTTGATTAGGTACCATTCAACTTCAACTCTGAAAATAATTTGAAGTGAAAAGTAGAGAAACTGGTCCTTAAGGTATAAAAATGACCCTGAATCCCTTGTCAACATGGTGGCAACAGCATCAATCAATCAATCCATCCTATAAAAAAGAATAATAATACATCAGTGTACTTAATATAGAACTGGACAAACAAATACTATCACAAAGCCTCCAGAGTTGGCAGTTTTATGACATCACTAAAGTCATGAATGAAAGAGCAATAAATAACAACATATTAACATATAACAAAATATCCATATCACACTTATAGCGCCAGTTCTCAAACACAATCTGCGAAAATCATATCACCAGCCATGACTGCCAATAGGCAACCTCCAATCCTCTCCACCAGCGGCTTCCGGGCTACAGCCTCCGAGCCGTCTAGACGGTACGCGGGCACAGTTGTTCTTTGGGCCAGGGCTCCTAGGGGCCTGGTAGATTGTGGTTCCCCCACCTGAACTCGAGGAATCACAATTTGATGCTTTCTTTGTTGATGGGTTCCATTGGGGTACATATGATCCACGTTGCTGCTTGACGGGGCCTTGACTTCGCACCTTGGCCTTGGCAGATTGGGTTGGGGCCATATAGCTGGGGACATTATTCGAGCCTGATTGTGGCTCCTGCTGCTGAGTGGAATATGGGCTTGACTCCATTTGTGTCACAACGTCCATTTCAACAGTCTTCTCAGACATGTTATCAGTGGTGGTGGTAGTTGTAGCGGTGGTGGGTAGTGTCATGTAAGAACCCTCTTGAAGGCCTAGTTGACGGGCATGGTATGGTTGCGATGACATCCAACGCTCGAGCCAATTCCAACCCCATTGCGCCTTCTCTCGCTCGTTAAGGTAGAGGTTAACATCCTTGCCATTGGGCTGTGGCTGCATGAGGTGTTGTTGATGCTGCTGCGGCTGTTGCTGATGTTGCTGTTGCTGCTGCAAGAAGTGAATTATGACAATGTAATCACCATTTCAGGGGAAGCAAAAACAAACAATTTCTGATTTTTCACTAAACGAAGTGATATTCAAGTGCTAATGTTTAACAATTAACCAACCTGATAGCTATAGGCATAAGCAAGGGCTCTTTCTCTTCTCATCACAGCATCATGTTTCTTTGAAGCACTTTCCTTGACTTTCTCCGAACTTTGATGCCCACCATCCCAACCGTCGTATTTCCTCAACGGGCTCCTTGGCTTTCGTTCCAGCTCATCCATTCCTCGTATTTCTTCCTCATCTTCGTCCACTCTCTTCTGAAGCTTCTCATGAGTTAGCTGCAGCCTACGAGCTCGAACTCTTGCCTGCACCCGTACTAATGCTTGCATGCACCGCATTGTCATTTGTGCTTGTTTGCGCACATTATAGCCTCTCACTAGTGCCTGTAACCTCACCAGTCCCTTCAAAGCACGCAAAGCTCTCCGTGCCTACAAAATCAAACGCAAAATTGAAACAAAACCATCCGCAACCATTTTAAACAGCACCTTTCCTCCCTGGAACTTAATCAGAGTACCAAAAAGATGCAGAACATCTTATTCCAAGATATTTTAAATAACGCCTTATTCCTTTAATTAAGCATCAAATTTTGTGACTGCCCAAGGACTAGATATTCACCAGTATAATTTTACATAACTAAGGGTTCAAAAAAGGTAGAAATATAAATCTACTAATAAAACACATTCATGGCGCCCGAAAATATGATGTCATAGAACCTTACAACTTGCAAGGTATAAATTGCAGGTCCACAAGTACTATGCTAATTACTTATATGCCAACTTGTACTTTGTTTCTGCATCACTATTGGTACCACTTGGTTATATGCCTTCGTGATTTTACTAATTGCATAGTGCGTAGTTAATAGGATTACAATTACAGGAATTACGCAGTTGTACCTTACAACTTCTTTTAATTATCATGAAGCTAACAACCATAAAAAATTACATTGCATTTAATGTGGCACGTGTGATTTGTGATCCTTCCAAATCTTTGCTGGCGACTTTGTAAAGCGTGTGCATGCGTGTGAGACAGATAATTAAATATGGCGATGGTGACAGACTGAGGGAGGTTTAAGTTTTTACCAGGTAGCCTCTGTAATACGACTGTATGAGGGTTGCAGCTCTTTCTTCCTTAGAGTGGCGTCCATAACCAGCCAATCGAACCACTTTAGCTGCAGCTTGAGCTGCTGCGACAGCAGCTTCTGCAGCAGCAGCAGTTGCCACGGCCACAGCAATGGCATGGCTCCTATCTTCATGCAAAGGAGTTGACGTCGCACTCTCATCATTTGTGATGTCCGGTGAACTCTCCGCCGGAAAATGTTCAAATGACACTACTTCCGGGGCCTCATTTGGCCATTTCTCCACATTATTAACTTTCTGAGAAATCACACCACGTTGCTCAGTACAAACATTTGATCAATAGTAATAGTGCTTGCACAATGTACAGAAACGAAACATTAAACAAAATTTCCTCAGCAAGACAATGAAATTTTTGTTTCTTTCTGCTGGTTGGCAAAAAAGAAAATTTTCCAGAGCAGATTATTACTGCTATGGCATGATGGAGATCTAACATCTCAAGCACATGATGAACAAATTGAATGATTGTGATGGCTTAGGTGGCATTGATAATAATGTGTCAAGGTAGTCATATTGATAGGGGACCATTGCTCCTTGCTTGTTTTCATGGCCTTTAAAGCAATGAAAAGTAAGGCCATTTTTGTTCCACCAAGTACAATAATTTAGCACCTATTGTATTATATTAGGCCTTCCAACTATCAATAAGTGCCATATATCAAATGTATTATTTGATCTTTCAACAAAAAAAAAAAAAAACAAAAAAACAAGAAAATCAAAGCAATCCACCTCCACCTTAATTTTTCCTTTCTGATATTTCCCGTTCGCCATATCAATAGTCAGGTTTAAATATTTTATTAAAGTGAAAATCACCTTATGAGGGAATTATTTGAGATTCTTAATTTGTCTTTTTCATTTCATATATCAAAATTAAATCATAGACTTTGTTCTTGCTGGTATTATAAATATGTAATTATAAACAAAAATTATTAATTAAGATGACTATACTTTTTCAAATAAACTTAAATTAGATGCTTCTTATTATGGTAACAACATATGTGTAAGATCAAAAAGAATATGTCCTTGCAATCATGTGGAATATGGCTAATCAAGCGTTGACAGGAAACGATAAGAAAACCACAGAATGTTTTGGATGAAGATGTTTGTTTTCCTTTTTAAATTGAAGGGCTGCCTCAAAATGAAAATTTAGGTAGGAAAAAGAAAAATATTGAAAGGAACCGACATAAATGGCATTGATTAATTGCTTATGGACATGGCAATCAAATCAGTCCTCTAACAAAGAAAAATCCTAAACCAATCAAAATTTAGTTACCTTTTTCTCAGGCAAGTCCTTAGAAGATGATTTGAACACTTTCTTCACCGTCGAGAACCATCCACTCCCTTTCTTCCCCATCTCCGGCGAAAACAGGAGCTTCACAATCGTAAAACAGAGACATAAGTTACAGTCAGATTTGACGAACTGGCTATTTAACTAATTCCACATTACATTCGTAAAAAGTTTATACACTCGAAGAAATACGTCGGAGAGTAGAAAAGAACGAAACTAGAAACGAATCCACAGTTATATGATGTTCACTTTTTCCAGTTAAGCTAATTAGGGCAAGGTTGAGAGTCCATGTGATGAGAAATGATGAAAACAGAGAATGCTTAGCAGAGGAACCATTGAAAGTCAAGAATGAGAATTGAAGAGTACCCAGAACCCGGAAAACAACGAGAAATAAAAATACGCTAGTTAGAAAAGAAAAGGATGAAACCTGAGACGAGAACGGCAAGCTGATATGTAATCAGTTGGCTTGAATTCTTGTCATGTTTTCTCTCTATCATTTTCCATGTATTCCAGAAGGAAATTACTTCACACTTTTGCTGTGGAAAAGAAACTGAAAAAGAGAAAATAAGGTGATATGGAGAGAGAAGAGAGAAGAGAGCATAGAGTTTTATCAATTTGGAGTTAGAAAGAGAAAGAACAACTGCTGCAGCGACCCGCGCGATCGGCCGATTGGATTTATCAAAATCACGGGGCGCCTACCTCGTAGAACATATGACAGTTGGGTTACGCCCAGTGGACTTCTGCCACGTCACTCCTGATCTTTCCACGTAAAGACAAAGCCTACCTTGTCATAATTTCATTTTGCCAAATTTTTTCCCTTTTAAGTTCTGAATTTTAACATCCTACGGTATAGTTGTATTTTTCCAAAGCCAAACTTGTGACATTTATTTATTTTATTCTAGCAAAATTTGCGAGCATGAAGCCAAGATCACATGAAATCCATGTTGGATTGGTCCCTTAATCAATGCCCTTTTCCCTTTTCTTTTTTCGCCCATGAATCTGTAAAGTTAAATATCTACACAACAAAGGTTTATAAAATCAATTAAATCTCTTTTGGATAATCTTCCTTATCTCCACTGGTAGTAATAATTTGAACCGTTCTAAGCATCAATTAAAAGCTACACACTTTATCAAACGTACCATAAAAATTTAATGAACACTTTTATATATGATATAAAATCAGTAATACACATACCCTATAGTGTTTATATATATGTTTTTAAACTATGATTACAAATTCAACATTTTTGTTAGTAGGCAAATAAAATATCCATGTGCTTCTAGTAAAAAAAACATCTGAAATTGATATTTCTCTAATTTGTTGCTTTAAGTGATACTAATTTCGTGCACCTTTCAGATAGGGACGGAGTTAATGAAAACTTTTATTGAAGGTAAAAAACAAAAAAAAAACAATAAAGATTAAAGATTTTTAAAAAGGTTATTAAAAGAAAAAATATATATAATACATACAAAATTTTAAAAAGCTACAACTCCACATAATTACACAAGGCTCTACCCCTTGCCAACGGGGGATGCAATGACAAATGAAGAATTAGTTTCACCTACCCGAATCATGAAACAGCGGTGGTGCGTTAATATTTTATCCTTACAATAAATAGATAGGTTAAAATTTAGAGTTGCAATTGGCAACTTACAGCCTTTATAACAAATTAAGTACATGCGAGTCAGATTTTTAATTTGTAAGGCCTACATTTTGTGTTATTAATATCGATTTTCTCCTTTACTTATATGCATACAAATGTAAAAAAAAAATGTTATGTACGTACACATAGTGAAATACGTAATAAAAGTAAGTGAAATTTTACCGTCGTGGTTTGTTTTTCAGCCTTCTGGGGAGGTTGGGGGTGTTAGTAAATGCAAAAACAGGAGTACTGGTAAATGTCTAGTTCAAGGAGCCTAAAACAAAGGGCAACGTGGATCCACCACATGAATAACTTTTTCTTTTGCTTGCTGAGCTGTGAGTTCTTGTTATCACCTTACTTTGTGGGATCCTACCTGTAAATAGTATGGTTGGGCTTTAAAGGGGAAAAATTAAAAGTGCTTAACTATGTTAGATGGTTCCAATTGCTTGCATTAAAAGATTAAAAAAAAAAAAACCAATATTGAAGTGAAAAAGGGTTGCATTAGAAAGGAATGCAGTCTTAGTTGTTGCCTGTGTACCGTCCCGATGAAGGAAAATGAGTTTGGTGACAAGCTCCTTTCATATTTATGTTCCCCCTGCTCCTTATTTACAATTGGAGGCCAATCGCTCCTAGCCTTATTGTAAACTTTATTGGTTGCAAAAACCATGGACCACCGGCTCTTGCATGCACAATTACGAGATATATATCTGCTCTAAGCCTAAGCTTTTATTGTATTCAATCATGATCTTGACCCTACCTTGTTCAGGCCTTATCAAGAATTTTGGGCGATTGATTGAACACAAATCAATGTTTTTTATTTATTTAATTATTATTATTATTATTCAATTTTAGGTGTCTTATTTATGATTACTTGGGTTGCTCTTTTAGGAGTTGGTCTTTGGTAAATGGCCTACTTTTACAAAAATTTGCTTTAAAACTGAAATTGTTATAGTATTTGTTGTGGTATTAAAGAAAATGATTGGCTTGACCCTGTTACTCACGCCTATACCTATTTATGGAGAAGAATTAGCTATAAGGTCAAACAAAATTTTCTTTTGTACCTTTTTGAGATGAGGCAGAGACATCGGTTTGGAAATCTTGTTTACTTCAGGAGTTGATGAAATGTTTTCGATTTTAAGTGTGGATTGAAAGCAACATGTTAATCTCTACCCTGGGGATTGGGGTTTGAGGGAGAAGCAAGGGCTGGCTAATTAAAATCAAGAAATGTGGTCAACTACTTTCGGATGACAACTCCCCAACCACTAACCTCAATCATGAGACAAAAACATTTCTTCACACCTCATTAACGTTTGGTGCAACCAAATCTGTTTTACATGCTTCTTTCTTCCTTCTTTGCATAAAATGAACATATATATATATATATATTTATTTATTTATTTATTTTACTTGAAGGGATCTGGTCCACTGAAATTAGTTGGACCAAATTGGACGTGTCCACGGATTAGAGTTTATTTGGAGTTCGAGGCTTGTATATATTGTCCAAACTTACATCCATAAATCCAAAATTTTAATATTATAAAACAAATATGGTTTCCTTTTTAAAAAGTAAAATAAAATTTTGAGCAGGCCAGGCCCAAAAATCTGTACTCATGCTTCAACCCAAAACGCTGTGAGCTTGCGACTGCATAGCCCATTATGGCTGAATAAACCGAGATAATGTTTGGTTCGAGGGTTGCTAGAAGTTGCTATTTTTTTTTTTTGATAACACTTAAAATAATTTAAAAATTTTATTTTATTTTATATCAAATCATGAATTATATTTTTATAATTTATTAAATATTATTTGTAATTTTATATTAGTTAATATATTAAAATATTATAATAAATAATAATATGATGTCATAATCACATGATATTTTTATGTTTTAAAATTAATTATTTTCAATTATAAAAATTTATTTAATTTAAAATAATTATACATAAAATTGAATAATCATAATAAAAAATTATTTAAAAATTATAAATAATTTATGAATATTTTTTAAAATATTATTATCTTTTTAATTAAATTTTACCAGACCATTTGAATGATTTTTTTGTGATTCTCATCAACATGTTTCGATTACTTACTGTCATTGATGTTTCACGATAAACATGAAGAAATGATTATATTATAATTTTAACATTTCTTTCTGATTTAAATTTTAGGTACGTGAATTGTTTATTAAACCATTTAACTTGAAATAAAGGAGGTGAGAGTATACACATCATATTGTACGTATGAACAAAAACCATGCTTGCATTTGTTCACTAACAAAATTAGCGGGATGTTCCCAATGAAGAAAGGAAGACAAAACTAAAAGATTGATTTTAGCCCAGGACCAGCTTATTGTCCACGTGTCTGCCAGGAAATGACGTCACATCCAGTCCGACCGTTAGCCAATTGTCTTGGGCTACAAGTTTTTAAGAATGGACGATGCACAAGTAGTCTTACACGTGTCAACAAAAGACGGACCTTGCGCATCCCGGATATCTCTCATGCTAATTTGTTCGACCCCACCGAATATCAAAAAATCCTTTAACCAGCGACCAACGCGCAATACGCGCCCGTCAAGACTTCATCCGACCGTCCAGTAGGGCGGTTCGTTTCCTTTTCCTGCTTACGTGTCGATCAGGGAGAGCATCACGGACGGCGCTGCGGGTTTATATTTCACATTTTATACTACTCACTCCACTCAACGGTCCGACGGTACTTCCTCTGCTCTACGAAGTCGAATACGGGAATCTTTTCACTTTCCCGTCTTTTCTGTCTCTGTCTCAGTCTCTCTAGAAAAACCCTAACTCCCCTACGGGTCTCTATCTAAACCTTCAAGAAGAAAACCTCAATGCAGCGTCAGTTTAACGCCATGGAAGATGGGTTTCATCGTAGGGCTTCGAAGAGGCCGTTGGTTTTGGAAGATGAAGATGATGCTGATGGTTCTTACGAAGTTTACCGCTTCAAAGTCCTGTTACCGAACGGGACTAGCGTGGAGTTGTCTTTAAAGGACCAAAAGCCTGAAATCTCGTTTGAGGATTTTATCGACCTGATCAGGGTCGAGTATGATTATATCGTTAGAAGCCAGCGTCAGTCGGTTAAACGAAAAAGAATGATAAATTGGAAGAGTGAAAAGTTATATCTTGAAGGTGACATGGGCGGTAAAATAATGAGTCGGATCAAGTTGGGGCATTTTAAGCCCCTGAAGTGTCACATTCTACGCCTTCATGTGAGTATTTTAGTTGCCAAGTTGTTTATGCAGTTTTGTTTTGCTAAAGAAAAATGTCTTAAGGACATGACACAACAAAAACATGTTTTTAAACCCATACTTATTTGTTGTTGTTAACATAATCAGGATGGTTCTGGAGAGGTTGCCAATACTTACGAGGTAGTGTCTTCTCCATCGTTCTCTCTCTTCTTTCTTCGGGAGAATTTTTTTGCACATTGTTTGTTTATTTTCTTTGTTGATAGTTGTAAGCCTGTCTTGCATCTCTGTAAAACCGGATGGCTTTTACTATCAAACCATATTTACTTTTGCGATCAATTTTCTTGGACAGAATATGTGGGATTTGACACCGGATACGGATTTGTTAATGGAGTTACCAGAAGAATACTCTTTTGAAACTGCTCTTGCAGATTTGATTGTAAGCTTCATCATGAGATTCTGGAATTTGTTTTACCCTTAATTTGTTGTTTTGCATAGGCGCTTTTACTCTTCTACTCGTTTAACAGGACAATTCCTTGCAAGCAGTATGGTTGAATGGTAAAAACGAGAGGAGATTGATAAGGTTTGAATTTACTCGTGAAATGTGATGATTTATTTATGATGACCATTTCCATTGCTGCATGCTTATTCTATATAGGGTATGGTTTTTTTTTTGTTGGGCTGGAATTTATTCTATAATGAAATGTAAATTAAGTTCAAACAGTAAATTGGCCGTATAGTGAAAATGAATTAAAATTTGATTGAATATGTTACTATCTGAAATTAATGATCATGGCCATTTACAGTAGCTTTAGAAGTTTTGTTTATTTACACTCTAAAAGTTGTAGATTTACGTGTTTTTGCTAGTTCCAAACAATTTTGTTGATATTTGATGTGGTTCAGAACTTATTTGAAATTTGTCTTGTTCAAACATTGAATTTTTTTATATTATGTCGGATCTTCCTAATAGCATGTCTGTTTGAAATCTGTTGTATTCTACCATTACAATTATCATATAAAGCCATTTTTCTGTGGTTTCTTTATGTGTTCGTGTATCATGTGCATGCGTGTGTTGCTTTTTCTGCTTATAACTAATTCAACCTTCCTTTTATACTTATTTCTACATCATAAAATGTTTGCATCATATGGTACTTTAGATGGCCATCTTAATATTTTTGCAGTGTGAATGTTCTTGAGAATAAAATCTCAATTTTTGACTCTGGGCCTGGAATGGACAGCAGTGATGAAAACTCTATTGTTAAGTGGTATGCTATACAAATTCTTCTTGCTTTTCTTAATTTTTAAGTATACGTTGTATTAACATATCCTTAGGGTATGTAATTAGATTCAGTGATGTATTCTAATGCTTGAGTTTTTGGGCAGATTTTAGATGTCTTGTTCGTTGCCCCAGCCAAGCAAAAAAAAACAAAAAAACCCAAAAGATTCCTTGAACTTGGGAAGGAAAAAACTTTTAGTAGCCAATAACTGAGTTTGCAATGATTCATTCATAATTTAACTTTCCGTCTTAACTTGTTTATTTATCAGTGGGATGTATTTGGAAGGAAACTTGCACTGGTTACTTCTATAAGGAGTTTCTAAAATTTAATAATTGATATTGTACGGATGTTTAAGATAATTTCTACTGTCTAAAGAGAGAAAAAAGAAAGAAGATAAGAACAAGGCTGACCCCAAAAAGAATGATATTTAGTTTTTCAATTTTAGCTCTAAATTGATAGTTTGCTCCTGGTTTTTAAAAATTTTCTTTGCAATTTTTTTAATCATATTTTATTTTTAGCATATTGCAAATGAACTTCTTAAAATGTTGGGAGTGTAGTGACATAGTGCATAATTTTTTATCATGCAAATTTAGAAAAAAATTTGATTCAGACTTGCCCGTATTTCACATAAATTTCTATTACTGTCTGTGTTTCTCAATTATCAATTTTTTAAAGGTTTGCTAATGGAAATATGCTTATTCTGCTCATTTATTTAGGGGAAAGATGGGTGCCTCTCTAAACAGATTATCTAAAGTACAGGCAATTGGGTGCAAACCTCCATACTTAATGGTAAAAATTTTTGTGTAATTCTGTTGCGCTTTCTTTTGGTTGTATGTGTTAGTATCTCCAAATGAAATGCACGTACTTGGACTTTGTTCCTTTTTCTTCATGCTCTCAGTTGGTATCATTGTCTATTTTATCCATGCATGACGCCTGAAAAAAAGAAGAGATCTCTATGGCGGTTAGTTTTACCCCTTACCATATTTTATGGGGAGTTTATGTTTTTCTCCATTTTAATGTCAACTCTGCACTATGAAGGATGGCAATAATTCACTTCTCTTTATATGATCTCTGAATTTGTTAGTTAGAAGTGCTTTTCTGTGACAATACAGCCCTTTTTTGGCATGTTCGGATATGGAGGACCTATTGCATCTATGCATCTAGGGAGGTATGAGCTATTTGAAAAATTGATCATGGCCCTACCCCATTTTTTTTCTGATAATTGAATCATGATATAATAGATTTTCATGGTTTTTTTTTTCTTCTCATATAGCTGCGCTATAGTTTCTTCCAAGACAAAAGAGTCCAAGAAAGTTTACACATTACATATTGCGAGAGAGGCTTTACTCAACAATTCTAATCCTGAACGTTCTTGGAGGGTAAGCAAGTTCTCTGAGCTCTAATCTCCCTGAAGAATTAATTCTTTGTGCAATATTTCTATCTATATTGTTTTAGAAAATTACAGTATTAATATCTAGAAAGTTTCTCATACTTTTGTTGCATTATTGTTATTATATTTTCTTTTTACTTTAGACTGATGGTGGCATCAGGGATGCTTCAGAAGATGAAATTGAGAAATCGCCTCATCAGAGCTTTACAAAGGTTTACTCTGCTGCAGAGTCCTTACACTTGGTGTATTGTTGTTTCCAGGGCTAGATCCTTAAACCATGAGCCCATGTTCCTCATTTTTCATATTAGAGGTTATGTGCATGTGGTGAATTTCTTTGTTTCCTATTTCCATTTGTCTTGATCTTCTATTGCATTTTTTTGCTGGGATAAAGAATTTGGTGCTTATTAGGATGTAACAGTCAAGTATATTATTTCTCATAGTTTCTGTTCTATTCTGCCTGCTTATTTTTGGAAATTTTGCCTGTTGTCCATTTCTCAGTATGTGTAACATTAAATTGTCCTGGACATGTGTAACTGGTTTACACTCTGCAACTTTACGTCATTACATAGGCAGAATGGATGGTAATTTTCAGGGGAAGACATGGTCAGCATAGAGTTGGTAACTTTTAGGAAAAGGCATGGTCTGCAATTAGTTGGAAATGTTATTTAAGATTTGCAGGTGGTTTTTATAAGTTCTTTGAGGAGTTTACAGCCTCTTTTCCATGAGCTATAACCACATTTGAAAGTTCTTTGTAGCTTGGATCAATATCTTGAAAATCCCCGTTCTATTTATGCTGAAGATTTTTCACTGAAAATTTGTGCTGTGATTTGTTGACGTTAATGGCTAAATTGTACAAAGATTTCTGGCAATTAGTTGCTCTGTTTGTGACTCGTATGCTTAACATTTACACAAATATTGTAGTGTGCCTTATTTTTTCTTTGAAAAGATTTATGGTATCATTGTGCATTACTTGGGCTTTCTGTTTATCCTGTTCGTAACTGTCATTTTAGTTAGGTGACGTGTTTTGCTTTAATTTGTCTGAGTTCATATATTAGATTTTAATAGTTTCATTCTTTGAAATACTTTACAGGTGGAGATATTAAAGCCTAAACCAAAAAACTTGGACATTTTTAAACTCCAATGCAAGCTTAAGGACATCTACTTTCCATATATTCAGGTGTGAGTTTAATCTTTTAAGTCCATTATAACTAGGTAATCTGTGAAAGTTGTAATATGGAGTTGTTGAATGGGAGGAATCAATCATGTCACAGGTGGCATGATTCCCCTTCCCCTATGGTATCTTATTAGTAACCTTATTTGGGATTTATATGGTGATGCACTATTTCTTTGTTTTTTTTTCTTTGCAAATCTACGTGGTTGCTACTTTGTGAATGCTGTATGTATGTCACAGAGCTAAACTATTCCTATTTTTTGCATTTATTCTTTTTTGTATGTTTTCTGCTCCTAATTTGATGGGCCTGTCAGGTGTCTGCATTTAAAGTTTTGATTATGGTTTACTAGTTCACAAGAATTGAAGAATTTGTTTGTCATTTAACTAAGAGTGGATTCTGGGAGATCTTTTCCCTTCATAAACCTTTTCTTCATTTATTCTTTTTTGAATATGGCTTCCTAGCAGACCAAGTATGTGCAAAGTCGTGTCTGCTAATTCAGTTTCTTGGTCCGGACGCCATGTTGGTCTGGATATTTGAACGATTGAGTAATAAGTTCCTCGTAGTGAGTTCTGGGTTCTATTCAAATCAAAATAATGGGCACTATTCTTTGTCTATTAGGCATTTATAACAATTACATTTGGGCTTATTTGTTGGACTGCTTGTGTATGTGTCATGGGCTCACATTTCTAATGCAAAAAACATGTTTATTAGGTGGAGGGAGACCTTCACTTAAAAGCCCGAGATCCACCTCTTTTTTTACTGATGTGAGATTGGTTACATTCTATCCCATCCAATTGTGCAACACTCTTGTTGCACCTCGACTAAGGTATCTCTCATCAGCGGGTTCCACATCAGTGAAGAGTTGAGTAAGTTTTGATATTACTTGTCATTAGCCTTCCCTTCCAACTCAATAGACATGCTTATTAGGTGGAGGAAGGCCTTTACTTATAAGGACAAAACCATCTTTTGTTAATGTGGGATCTGTGACATATGCATATATATCTTCATGTGCTTTTCTATGATGCTTTATGTTGAAATATACCTTTCAACTTCAAAGCATTGAGTTGAATTTCACTTTCTTCTATATATTATTGTTTAGTTGTAACTTTTTAATTTCTGGAAATGTATTTTCTGTGTGTTTTGCATTTCTATTATCCAATCAACTTTGTAATTATACTAGAATCCTAATTGGTTCATATACATTACTTTGTTGGCCTGCAGTGTGATGAGTTGTCCAAAGCTGGCAGGACTATTACACCTGTTGAGTTCCAGGTTTATCTTATCATTGCTGTATGATTTGTGTCGTTTACAGTTCACTTTAAATATTGAAATGGAATATAAATTGCTGGAGGGAGAATACTTATGCAAGGATGTAATTACTGTATGAGGAAACTTTTTGTCAAAAAATAAAAGAATGATGATATGTTCCTTTTGTTATCTGAATATCCATACTCATCTTATGTTAATCTCCTAGATATTAATTTGGACATGCTTTTTTCCTTTTCTCCTTATTGTTGATTGGTTGGTAACCTTTTAACAAATTTCGGGAGTGTTGAAGGAAATTGCTGCTGTTCAGGTTAATGGTGTTGATTTGACTGAAATTGAAGGTGGCGAAGCTGCAATCACCAACTTGCTTTCTTGCAATGGTCCTGAATTTAGTATACTGCTTCACTTTTCCCTTAGAAGGGAGAATGTTGCAACCAAAGGTTCTGATAGTCGTCATGTCTTGCTATTTACTGCTTTTATCAATGGCAATCTTGCTGTCAATGGAAGAGCAATGGTTTTTTGTTTAGTTTTAAGTTGCTGAGGTTTTATATTTGCCAGGTTCAAAGGCTTCTCAAGAGGCAAATGCTCGCCTCAAGTGTATTTATTTTCCCATACGTCAGGTATTGGATTATTTGTTTAGCTTTTCTATTTAGACTTTGTGGAAGAATATAAAATCATAGTTTACAGGGGAAAGAGAATATTGAGAGGATTTTGGAGAGGTTGGATGCTGAAGGATGTGGAGTTAGAGAAAACTATGAGAATTTTAGTCGTGTCTCAATTCGACGTCTTGGTCGTTTACTTCCAGATGCTCGTTGGGTTAGTTTCCTATTAAGCTTATGAATATAATGTGGTTTTTCGTATGTCATATTTGGTAAGTGGCATCATCTTAAAGAATTAGGCATTTTGTAAAACAGATACTAATTTATGATTTATAGTATTAGGCAAATGTTGCTTTTGTCTTGTGCATGTTTATAAAACGACTTGTTAATTATTTATCTTACCATCCAAAATTCTGATCTGAGTTTTAACTCTTTGGATGAATTCCATTTTGGCTGAAAGGTATGTCGATTTTTTCTCTTTCTAAATAAGGAAGTTGCCTTTTAACAGATGCACTTGCAATGTCGTCTCCAATTGAATTCTATTTGGAAAAATGTCCTTCATGGTTATTTCACTTTTTGTGTACGCTATTTTGGTGTTATGCTGGGTGGCATTGTACCCAAGACTCTTAGCTTAGCCTCTCTATAGATGACTGCCTAAGCTGAATTGAAAAATACATGTACATTTGAAGGCTTAAAAAGGAAATGTTTGGGGACACTCTAGAAAGAAAAGGATGTGATGGTCATTTAAGTGTGCAGATTCTAGTTGTAATTGTCAAAATTACCTTAAGATATCCGAGGATAGGGTTCTATCACTCTCTTCCTAGGTTTTTACCTTAACTTTCACCATTTATTTGTGCATCTGGACCAATGTTAATTGGTTTGCCATAATTTCATATACATTAATGCTTCAGTGTGGTGTGCTGCTTGGTGGGGAACCCCAAGATTTTTTTTTTTTGAAAAGTGTGAATCTGTTTCATTACAGGCTTTGCTTCCTTTTATGGATTTGAGGCAGCGCAAGGGGGATAAGTCCCACTTATTGAAAAGATGTTGCTTGAGGGTTAAATGCTCTGTTGGTAGTGTGGTTCAAAATTTATGAGAGTATATATTTATATATACTTGCAATGTTTCTTATTTTCCGTAAAAACAATATGATTCAAGAAGACTCGTTTTCGGTTGCAGAGACTGATGCTGGCTTCAATCCAACGCCATCGAAGGTAGGCTACTTTGTGCGTTCTACTTTTTTCTTTATAAGGATGGTTCTTGTATTTGCCATTGCTTACTGTTATGTCAATATTTACTTTTCTTTTGGAAGTTAAGTTGTCAGGTGGCTTGCTTCTAAGTGTTAGAGATAGTATTTTGATTTCTTGATGCAATTCCTGGCGTCCTGCTATGTATATGTTGGAATAATAGTCTTATGTGCGAAGATGTGTACGCGTGTTGCATTTTGTTATGTGGTGAGAATTACTTGTCAAGTGGTTGGTGGTACTGTACAGGATCAGTTAGAGCAATGATGGAAAATATGCTATAACACAGCTCTATGATGTCATTATTGTTGTCTTGAGAACCATTTTACAAGTTCTTTTGGTTTGGAGCTTATTCATTAAGGTGGTTTTAAGGCACTTTTCCTTGTTCAAGGGCGAAGTTTTAGTTAAAATTTGCTTCAACCCCTATTTGCCGCAAGCAGTTCCAAAAATCTCTGCTCAAAGATGAAGGGCACTCACACAAAATATGTTGCCTTAGTATATATGGTTGTGCACAACCAACGTTCTTATGATAATTGACAAAAGAGTGTATAAAGAGCCAAAGTAACTTAATCAAATTGATTGATTGGACTAGTTTAAATAACGATATGTATATGTTGTTTATCTCTACAGACTGATTTGGCGCACCATAATCCTTTTTCCATTGCTCTAAAGAACTTTGGCAGTAGGCATGTAGAGAAAGAAAAAGGTGAACTTTGTTTTTGGTTGGGGTCCATGTCAGATATGGGATTTTATACTTATTTTACATTTGTTTTAATCCAATATTTTGATTCTGTAGATGTTGATGTTGAAATTTATAGAGGCGGTAAACAGTTAACCTTTCTACAACTGGAAAGGGAGTATCAGGATTGGCTTCTTCTAATGCATGACTGTTATGATGAAGAAATCGTGTCTGGTGAGGATCAGCCAGTTCTTCTTGTTGGTCCCTTGAACAAGAAGGCCCTAGGAATATCATCTGATGGTAACATTATCTATAAGCAGTTTGATGATATATGCATGTTTGATAATTTTTTATATTTTCAACCTCATAAGTTTGGTTTAGATAAAATTTGTTAAATCAGGTTTGGTCTGTATCTGTTCTTTAATTTGCTTCTTTCCATCGTGTTTTGGCTGATATTACCTACTCATAATATTGCCTCTTTTCAACTTGCAGTTATAAGGGTTCATAAAATTCTTAAGAGAAAAGGAGTATTGTGGAAAAGTGGCCAGAGAATCAAAGTTCTTAAGGGTGCATGTGCAGGGTTTCATAAGAACAATGTTTATGCTACATTAGAATATGTTTTGATTGAAGGATTTCAGGGGGATTTTGGTGGTAAGCAGTATATTTAAACACAAGGAAGTTCAATCTACCAGTATCTTTAACGTAATTATTGCATTTATACATCTCTATATGCTGGTGACATGTCTGATTTTTTCATTAATCTGTTTTATACAGGAGAAGCTCGGATTATATGCAGGTGACCTGCCTGTGCATCTGCTTTTTAAGTTTCTTGTAGTTTTAGGTGTTTTTTTTCTTTTGAAGTTTTTGGTGTTAATTCCTCATTGTTTACTTGTATACGTATGTTTTTCATTTTTGAAATGGAAGGCCACTAGGTCTATCGAATGGTTCTATTCTTTCTGTAAAGGATGGAAATGCCAGCTTTGATATTCGCAGTTCATTATCTCTTCCAGTTAGTGTGATTGATTCTGGAAAGGTTAGCTTTTATTGTTTGATCCTATATTGCTATGAGATCTCCCCCTTGGCAGCTGCTTCATATGTTTGCATAACATGGTGAATTCTGAGCCATTTGCAGTGCCTAGCTATTGATGATACTGATTGGGATTGTCAACTTGAGAAACAATGTCAGAAGGCTCCCTTGAGAATTGACTTGCTGGATGCGAAACAGTGTCAAGAATTGGAGGTTGATGGGGTTGGTGAATTTTTATGTACTCATAATAGAACTGTCAAATAATTTTGGCATTGTCTCAACAGAATGTATAGCCTTAAAGATTGCAATGTCAACATCAACTTGCATGTGTGTGATATTCAACAAACAATCTTCTATCTTCTTGAGGAATCAATTGGATAATCATTATTTTTTTCTTCTCCCTGGTTCTATTAGTTCAAGCATCTTCACTATGACTTATTTCGATAATACTGGTTTCTTGTCTTAGGCATTGCCAGCTGATGCCACAGTACATGCTGGACTAGTTCCACCAAAGGAAATTGTGGCTGTCCTTCGTCCAAGGAGTTTTGGTTCGTCTAGTGCTTCAAATGACTTGGAGCAGAAGGACATTCTGAAGATTAATTTAGAGATGTCAATGGAAGTCAATTTTAGAAGAACCAAGAACCATCAAGATGTTAAACATATTTACTCAGGCCGAATTACACCTTCGTCCTGTAAAGGGTTTAATGGCTTGTACGTATTCCCACTTGGGTGCAAGTTCCCACGCTTGTTTCAAGAAGCAGGCATATATACCTTTTTATTCTCTGTTGTGAGTAATTCAAAGACCTCTTTATTTCTTGTTTCCTACTTTTATTTGTATAATCTCCTATGTTTTGAAATTCTTGTGATCATGCAATCTAATGGAAGCTCACATTCATTAGGAACATTCAGGTTGTAAGAATTGCAAGAAAATACTGCTGGTAGTGCCTTCGCGTAAGGTTGGGAAGTGGCAGCTTCTGAGTGATGGAAAGATTCCATCATATAATGTGAGGTAGGAACTTGAGGATATTTGTTGCGGATTTGCTGTTCAATGAACTCCCTACCAAATTAAGTTAAATGTGTTAGGAATATAATTCTTTCTAGAAGTACATTGTGTTCTGGCACCACTTAGGAGTTCAAGTTTTGAATTGGATCGGCATCAGATTTGTTTTCTGTAATATTAATTTTTCATGACAGAAAATATATTCAGCTTTTTTTTTTTACCTTATTTACTCTATGGTCATTGGACAGGGTCGGTTCATGTTTTCCATTTATCGCTATTGCATGCTATGACATATATGACAATCGGATGCCATTTTCCTCCATTCCTAACTTCAAGATCAAGCTTATTATGAATGAAGGTATGCTAGTTGATGTGACCAAGATGAAGCCATTCCTTTCTTCCGATAACTTGGTCCTTAATATTGAGGTATGTATCTTTTATGAAATTTATTTCCCCTTAAAAGACTTAGATGTCTATGCCTCGAAATATGGAAGTCATTTTCTGTGCATCCACTCTTCTTTTGGTTTTTCTTAATGCTGCAGGATGTCATGATTGAAAGTAATGAGTTGGACTCAATGAGGCCTCATTATGCAGCCACCTTGGTGATATATTCAAAAGATGAGTCGGTGTCAATTTCTGTTGAATGTCAAGGTGCTCTGCTGTATATTTGTCATCTGCATGTAAAAGCAGTACTAGAGAAACAAATTTTTATTTGATTTATGGTACAATGTTCTGAGTGTTTATCATGTTGAATTATTTTTTGCACATATCAGTTACCCCTGGAGCTTTACGGAATGTCAAAGCCTGTCCAGAAGTTCTTGGAAACCAATTACTGCCAGGCGTCATAATTGAGCAGCTCGTACTAGAGGTGCAACTCTTTCATCATTCTGACGCCCTAGATTTGCATTAGTTATGATTTTCCTCTTTTGATGAGTTGTTTGGTTCTGCATACAGAGGGTGAGCCTCGTTTTATTTGCCATGTTATTAAAAGAAAGTAGTTGACTCATTCTTTTTGCCTAAGCATTTGTGAATCAATGTGTGGTTGTCCAGTTCAAGCTCTCAAGGATGTTATTTTTGTTGAATTGTTCACTTATGTATATTTCTGTTGCTCGATATTACATTATGAGCTGAGCAATTATCATCAATAATTGATAATTGATGTGGCAGAATCTTTCGTAGAGCTTTACAATTCAGTTGTTGTAATTCTCTTACTTTCCCCTTCCCGTTTGTCTGTGTTATTTTTTTAGTAAATGCATTAGTTCAGATAAACCTAAAAGTGAAAAAATAACATTGGCTCTCCAAAACATTTTTGATTTGAAGTGCAAAACTTTCCACTGCTTTTAATGCATCCCAATATTTTTATCACTTGTAGCATGCCTGCCATCAAATGAAAAAGCTACATAGGATGCATCCCAAATTTATTATTTACCAAACTGAAAGGTATAATGAAAAGGGCATCCTTACATAACATAGAGTTTTTCCTTTTGATGGATGCTATGAAGTGTTATATTTTGTTAAATGTTCCTGTATTTTCTTTCTAATGTGAAAAGTTATTTGAATTAAAATATGTCAAACAGATTGTTCCATTGTTTTCTTTGCTGTAGATAGGTTTTGTATTCTCATTCATTAATCATTTTAATCTTTGTGTTGAATACATCTCACAAAATACCATCCATTGGTAAAACCATTTGGCAATGTTTGGCGTGTAATCCAAATTAAGCTATCTCCAATTGGTATTATGGCCTGCACTATATTTCATTCTTTTTCAGATTTGTTTTGCTGAAATGTGAATTTACCTTGACCTGTAATTGTGCTTTTTTAAAAAAAAATAAATCCCATCATTTGTTAACTCAATACTTTACATGGGTAAAAGTTATATACTGGATATTAAGTTGTAATATTTGAAATATCTTGAGTATCTGGCACATGGAAGCACATTATGAGTAGCTCTGAACTAGTAGCTTCATGTCACTAGTGAAGCCAGTGTAAATATCAAACAGGGCATAAGATTGTGATATGAGCTTGTAGATTACCTGTTAATGATGAAATATTACTAACATGATAATTTATTTGCCTCAGATGTTTGATGCATATGGCAATCATGTTGCAGAGGGTGCGGAAGTTCTGTTCCACTTGGATGGATTTGTTATCCAAGGACATCTAGGCTCAAAGTATAAGGTTAGGTTCTTTAAAACATTATATGCCTGTACTCTATGAAGAAACAACATTGCAAAATCTATTTGACATTCAGCAAAGTTTGAAGTTATCTTCCTCGGTATGGTATTAGGTGGAAGAGAATGTCATAATTCTTATTTTTCAGATGATGCTCTCTGAGCATGATGGTGATAGTTGGTGGTCAAGATTAAGGCTTCAATTGTTGAGATCTAAGCATGGTGGTGTTCAATATATAATGTGCAATCTGACAGCAGTTTTCCAAATGTAGGTGGATGACCATGGATGCGTTGACCTTGGGGGCCTATTGAAAGTAACTGCAGGTTATGGAAAACCAGGTATATAACTTTAGGCTTCAGCTAACTGGTCTTTCCTGGTAAAGTGGTTCATTATGATACAAATTTCCTTGCAATATTTATGACTAAATTGTATTGGTCATTCATAGTTTTCAGTTAGTTTTTCCAGATTGTTGTAGATAGTGTTTTTTCAATACTCACCACATCCTATAGGACTCAATGTTAATGATCCTTACAGAGGTTGCAAATGGCCAAAATTTAAGTATTGACTATACATCTGTGGGCTCTAATTCATTTATTTGGTGTGCGTGTGTGTGATTATCCGGTCATCCACCATTGCAAAGATTAGACATGATTCCAAGACAAAGTTAATCGATGATACTTAAGAAAAGAAAAGGTTATTCTGAAGGTAGCTAATCTTTTTAATTCTTATTCATTTATGGAAGCAGCTTTAGCTTATTCTTTCACATTCACAATTTATAGTTGGCCCAAACCTTGGACTAACATGTAAAGTTGCAATTGCTTTCTGTGACGTAAGGTGGATGGGTGTAGTGTTGTTGGGCAAATCTGGCAAAATGTTACATTATGCATCCTACATGTCTTCAGGGATTGACGAAGATTCTTGTGAAATGCATACTCATTAACCAGCCATAACCTAGAAGCATAATTTTAAGTTGGTGAGCTATAAATTTTATTCTTTCATACTTGATTGTTTCGCACATGCTTTCTTCTGCAGTATCTCTCTCTGTTTTACATGACGATGAAGTAGTTTTCAAGCGAGAGTTTCAAACCGAGAAAAGGGAACTAAGAATTGCATCAGTGGTTAGTATCTGTTTGCTTCTGTTTCAGTCTCATCTTTCAGACTTATCACTCAAATTTCTCTCACCTTTTCTGTTACTATTATATGTGTACTCAGGTACCTGAGCATTGCATTGCTGGCTCTATGCTGGAAGATTTAGCTTTTGAAGTTGTAGACTCCCAAGGTGTCGTTGATGAAACTTTTCATGATGATGAAAAGCATGGCCAATCCCATAGACTCATAGTTAACTCAGAATCATTCGAAACATGTGGTTCTATATGCTATGCATTCAGTCATGGCTGCTGCATCGTCACTTCAATTCCCCTTCCTGAAATTGAAGGGTCATTTTGCTTCATAGCTTTTCATTCTCGTTACACAGATCTGTATCTCAATGTCAAGGTTGTAAGTTGTAATGATCTTGTGTCTATTTCGAGATTACCAGTTCAACATCAAAATGCTGATTTCATTGTGCAGGTTTCTCTTGTGTGTTCTCGGAAAGTTGAGTCTGATGAGATTGAGTCCCCCTCAGATCAGAAGGTCTTGTTCCTGCAGAAGTCACAATCTGTCAAGGATGTAGGAAGTCTACTTTCCCTAGTGAAATATGACAAGGTAAGGCTACTGTTTTCAAATGTGCATATTTCTCCATAGAACTGCAGTTTAATTTTAAAGTGGATTGTTTTTTAAATTTTAACACAGGAACTAAAGGATGAAGCGTGCAAATACGGTGAGCGCATTGCAAAATGGGAACATCTGCTGGAAACTCTTGATTGTAGGAAGACAAGCACTGAGCGATGTGTGTCTGGGTTGCAAGGTTGTTTACAAAGTCTTACTGTTCTTTTTTTTTTTTTTTTTCAAAATTCGACATCAGCGGTTATAAAATAACATGATTGTTGACGATGATAATGCTTGATGGATGAAATAGAAATTAGTTTTCTTTTTATTTTGTCTATTTAAGTTAATGGCGTAGTTATTTAACATCTGCATCGTTCTCTGAAACTTCCTCTTAAATTTAAATGTATTGATAGCATGGTGAAATGTTTATCTTGTCTTCAATGGTTCAACTTATCCCATAGCAAGAGAATAAAAAAAGAAGGAAACTCTGTTGTTGTGTTATAGAATGTTCAATTTAATTTTTAGTTTAACAATTGGTTTTGGTTCTTGAAAATTTCCATTGACGTGTCAGATTCTCCACTGATGTGTTTGATGTCGTTGTGATAAAGAAAATTTAGTTTTATGCTGCCATTTCTGAAACATAAACATTTGAGGTTTGGAGCTTTAACTTATCATTTTGTTGTCCATTCTACTTGTTACATTGGAAAAGATGCCAAATTAATGAGGTAGTTAACACCAGTAGTTTTTTTATCATAAACTCTTTTGCAGCTTCTCTGGAACCTAATTTAATCGACAATTTGGACTCTTTGTCCACAAAAGAAGAAATGATGATACTGATCAAGGAAAGAGATCATTGTGCGGCTTCTGTTCTCTGCAGTCTTGCTCAAAAACTTCCATTTCAAGAACCACGGATGGATGTTATGGAAGGGTTAGTAGGTGTGGTAGCCCTACTGGGAACAGTTTGTACCAGTAAGCTTAGCAGGTTGTATCTACCTTTCATCTTTAAAGATGTCTATATAAAACAAAATAAGAGATTGGCAGAGTTCTCTGTAACTTTTAGCTTCTCTGGATTTCCTTGGATTTCTCTATTCCAGGATTTTAGCTGAGTACTTGGGTGAAGATCAGATGCTTGCTGTTGTGTGCAAATCCTATACAGCTGCGCGTGCTCTTGAGAGGTATGAGCATAATGGAGAAGTTGATTGGAAACTTGGTCTTCATGCAGAAGCTACTGCACTGGGAAAATCAATAAGTGGCAGATTTCTTGTTATCTGCCTTGAGGATATAAGGTATTGCGTGGAGTTTTACTGTTTATGTTGTCAATGGTTATTGCTACAACTATTCTTATGTAGACACTGAAAATTGAAAGTTTAGTGGTCAATGATGATGAAACATGCAGGCCTTACCCAGGATTGATCGAAGTAAGTGACCCTGAGAGGAAGCTAGTCTTGCCAGATCCTAGGTTACCGACTGGAAACACTCCTCCAGGTTTTATTGGTTATGCGGTTAATATGGTTAACATTGACCATCCTCATTTAGAGAACATGACCACTGCTGGCCATGGTCTGCGGGAGACCCTATTCTACAGACTTTTTAGCAAGCTTCAAGTATATGAAACGAGGGAACATATGGAAAATGCTCGTGCTTGCATAAAACACAGTGCTGTCTCTCTGGATGGAGGAATTCTGAGAAAGAATGGAATTTTATCTCTTGGATACAGGTGTTTATATTTTTTCTCTTCCTCTCTGTGAGTGTTTATATAGGTGCATGTCTTGCATGTGTGTATGTATGGATGTAGAGAACAATGATAGGGATCACAAATACATTAGGGTTTAAATTGGTTGTCTAGAAAATTTGCAAGGAAGACTTGAAGGAGATAGATATTTATGTGGTGCACGACCAAGAACTGGATGCAAATTTTTTATGGTTATGGGCATTTTGGTCAAGTCAACTAGCACAATGATCTGATTTATTGATTTGGCTTTCAGGAATCCTGAAATACATTTTCCAGTTCAGATGCATGTCTCTCCGCAACACAAGGAAATCATGGAGCAACTTAAGAAATTGAAGTTGGAGCTAAGAAGCATCTTACAGCATATAGATAGAATAAGAAAAAATCATGCCAAAGCTTCTAAGAAGTTTAACAAGAGAAAAATGAAGCTGGAGAAGTGCACGGATCGAATGGTTTCCACAATCAAGTATTATCACATGGAATGTGCTTCCGATACACCAAAGAGCGAGGAAGTCCCTCCTATGTGACTCTATTTCTCACCTATGCCTGTATATATGGTTATTTAGTACTGTCTGTTGCTTGGTATATCATTGGTACTTGAGTTCATTCAACTGATGGATTTGCTTAACTGAAACTTTTATAGAGGAAGCTGCTTATGTCCCAAACATCAGAGCTAAACATGTCTGATTCTTTTGTTATTTTACTCCACTTCCTATGCATCAAGGTTAAGAATGCTAACACATTATGTTTTGGTTGGTGTCGCCTAGGGATTAATTATAATGCAAACACGACTATCTTGGTGATGCACCCTGCTTATTTATTGAGGCAAGGGAGGGTGACGTTTAGGCTTAATGCCACTCCTCGCTGTTGCTCGATGTTGTCACCCCTTAAGCCTAGACCACCAAGGTCTGGGTCTGGTTGGGTTGGCCCAATGCTTGTTTATTTGAGCAAAGGTTAGCTTTTGTCTTGTGTTTTCTCAACAAGGGAGAGCATCAAGGTAAAGTCTCTACCATGTCACTAATGATATAAACTTAATTTGGAGTGTATCTTTAATTACATTAAATTATTTTAGTTGAATCATAAATTATGTGAGATATATCAAAATATTTAATTTATTTATAAGGTTAGTATCTATAAATAATATATTTTAATATAATTTTTTTCATCTTGATTAAATTGGCAAAGGACATCACTATAGGGCACGGTAGTAAAGTTTCAGTTTTTTCGGTGGAAATATGATAATTTTAGGAAAGTTAGGGATGCTGATGATATTTCCTAAAACATCGAAAACCGAGTACAACTTCCAAATTTAATTCTCACTGCCCTCTATTTCCTGAAGAGAAAACCAGGAGACCGAGGGAGAAAACTTAAGGGGCGACCCAAAGCTCCACTCAGCCATGTTTTCATCCAACCACCAGGTGGGTCACTCCCTCGATTCTTCTCAACAGTCTGTTTGGTTACTCAGAAAATGTCACCAAAAGGGAGATGAAAGAAAATTGAAAAATTGATTTCTTTTTGGAATTTAAAGCGCAAGTGCATTCACAACTTGAAACTCAAAAGTTCTTTTATTTATTCCTTCTTTTATCCTGACATTTTCTCTGGGATCAAACGGCGTTTGGTGGCTCTCATGCATGCGTTTGTTTCCCTTTTTTGTACTTATTAACTGCTTTAATTTCAAAGGTCGACACGTCAAAAACAAAGAAAAGGGAAAAGATATGATTTTTTTTTCAACCGGCAATTTAGAAAAGATTTCTTACGTTTCGTGGTAGTAGATTTTCTTTTATTGGGAAAAATTTTCTGACTCCATGAATTGGTTAATAGTTAATAGTATTTATTGTTGAAGTTTTAAGTTGGAGTGCCCATTTGTTTCACTTGGACACTATCGAAATGCTCGTAATAACGTTAATTTTGGTTGTTTTTTTCGTTTGAGAATTTTGAAATCTACAGGACAACTCATAATCAGCAAGTGCGTTGGATTTTGAGTTTATGCTTTTCTTTTTTCTTTGTATCCCTTTTTGAATGTTAAAGCCTAATCTGTTTTATGAGTTTCTAGTGTTTTTACCGTCAAAAAGATATTGTCAGATGCAATTTGATTACTCTCACTCTTTGCAGTTTTCAAATCAACCAAAGCCTTTAGCTGTTATGGATCCCACAACTCCAATGCAAGTGGATCAGAACGAGGCCTCTTCTGTTGCCAGGGATGAAATGCGAATTGGAGGGTTTTCACATGCCAAATCCATTATCCAAAGCTCTGAGGTTTTGAACTTTCTTTTACAGTGTTTCTGTAGAGACTATAAGAACAGTGATCTATTCTCATATGGTTCTTTTTGACATTAGAAGTCATAAAAAGATGCAAACATTCCCTTGTTTTTAATGTTCTTTTTTGAGTTTGTGTCTCCTTTTTTAAAGTAAATTTTGATATAACATGATCTGTGCAGAAACTTCAAGATGATCTTCGTATGTTAGGGCTGAAAATCAAGCACCATGAGGATAACATAAAACTTCTGAAGATTCAGAAGAACAAGCTAGATGACTCCATACTTGATATGCAAGGTATATTTCTCTTGTTCAAGCGCATGCATGACGTAAATTACATTTTGCAATTCGGGAAAGGAATTTAAGATGCCGAAATATTTGGGCAAGGTGCTATTGTCAACGTCCAGAATGAGTAAATGTACAGTTCATATAAGACCAGGAATTAAGGCACTTTTTGTTAAAATTTGTGGATCTGGGACTTACGCTATGATATACTAAATTGCTTGTGTTTAATTGCCAAGATCTGGCTCTTCATTAACTCCATGTTATTAAATTGCTCTAATTTGGATGTTAGTATAATGTTTTATGGAAGTTATTAACTCAGACTTACGTGCAAATATGGTAGGCAGCTAGTATGGTTATTTTTGAATGGTATGATTTCAAGTTATATTGACCCTTGATAACCATATGTTGCATATTTATTTTCCATATTTGTGGCAACCAATTGATCTTTTCTCAGTTATGTGTGGCAAGTATCATTCTGCTGGTGCACCTAAGATTGGAAACGAGAACTGTTCCCACCTTCAAAGTGAGGAGGAAACAACTGAACAGATTCTTCGGCATGGAAAGTCAGCAGCAGGAATTCTGTGTCAGCTGAAAACTCATAATGCCACTCAGGCTTCTTATCTGACTTTGACAAGGGATGTACTTGGTGCTGTTGCTACACTTGGCAAAGTGGATGATGAAAATCTTAGTAGGTCTGTTTGAATTTTCTTTTGTTATTTTCTGTCTTTCTGCATCATGCCTCCTTACATTTAATTTATTATTCATCTATTTATTAGAATATTTTGGATGTTTTTGCATGAGAAACTTATACCTTTATCCTTCCACTATCTTATGTATCGCATGCATAGGGGCCAAAAGAAAAGTGGGAGGGAGAGACTTGAATTGAAGCTTATGTGTGGGTGGGTTAGTGTCATTATGTCTTGCGTTTTTAAATGGTGATGGATGAGTGCATGTGCTGCATTATAATTTATGGAATTTCTAGTGAATACCAGCCTGTTTATTAAATAGATTCCTAGTTGGGCATCTTGATTGAGGGTTGTATGACAACTGTTAATGCTTTTACGTGGTTGATGTGTGGCCTTATATTTCTTTATTTATATGTAGGCTTTTCTCGGAGTACCTAGGAGTGCAGACTATGTTAGCAATTGTTTGTAAAACTTATGAAAGTGTCAGAGCTTTGGAAACATACAACCAGGATGGCTGCATAGATAAAACTTCTGGTCTTCACCGGCTTGGTGCTTCTATTGGGAGGGCTATAGATGGCCGATTTCATGTAATTTGCCTTGAAAGTTTAAGGTATCAGTCTCTTATATTGTTTCTGATCATAATCTGGTTTACTAAAGACATCATAAAGATTATTTTCTTTTCCTTTGTCCTCACCTCTCTGCAGACCTTGTGCTGGTGATTTTGTAGCTGATGACCCGCAGAGGAGGCTTGATCTTTTAAAGCCAAGATTACCAAATGGGGAGTGTCCTCCAGGCTTTGTTGGCTTTGCAGTGAATATGATTCAAGTGGACAGCTCAAACTTATTTTGTGTCACTGCCAGTGGGGATGGCCTAAGGGAGACTTTATTTTACAATCTGTTCTCCCGTCTTCAAGTATACAAAACAAGGGCAGAGATGGTTCTTGCTCTCCCTTGTATAAGTGAAGGAGCAATCTCTCTGGATGGTGGGATGATCAGAAGCTCTGGTGTATTTTCCCTAGGCAATCGGTAAGAAGTTCTTTCTGGCAGGTGGCAGATTCCATTTTCAAAAAAAGAAAAATATTCAGAACACTTCTTTTATATTCTGCTTTTTCAAACTTCTTCAATTAGGGAATACATTCACAGTTTGCTTGTAATTCAACTGTCTTTGGATGTAAGAAGATTGTTGAAATTCATAATGTGTTGTTATTGTAGTGCATTAATAATTAATACTTATCTGGTAATACTAAATTACTTATTCTATAACAGAAGACGTATTTTCCACATTTCAAAAGTATGGTTGCATACAAAATTGAACCTTGGAGACATTGTGAACCATTTTACTTGCAGCTCGTAAGGCATTTGACCTGTTGTTTAGAAAAATGATCTCATTATTGTTATTAACCAATTAAAATTTTATGTTTGCTTTTGTAGATTAACTTTTTATTGATTAATAACGTTCGGTTAGTTTGCTGTTGCATCTTTGTTCTGACTATGTTTGATATTAGGGAAGAGGTTGATGTGAGATTCCCAAAACCCTCTGCAAAATCAGATATGCCGCAAAACTACATTGAAACTGAGAAGCAGATGAAAGAAATGAGATGGAAAAAAGAAAAGTTGGAAGAGGATATGAAGAGGGAACAAGCATTGCTGGACAATGCGAAGTTCAATTTTGAAAGAAAGAAGCAAGACTTTGTCAAGTTTCTTGCTCAAAGCTCGTCCTTTGCAACTCAGGTATTATGAATCATAGTTTGAACTGAAATGAGATTTTTATCTTCGTATTATTTTCTTTCTTTCCAAATTGCAGTGTCTGTTAAGTTTTCTTGTATATGACATCACTATTTTGACAGTTTCAGGCAACTCAAGATAGGTTGACTCCAAGATGATGATAACAATGATGTCTAGCTAGCAGATTGAAAAAGAGTGCAGAAGCCTTTGAACACTAAAATTTCAGCTTCTACCACCATTATCATTTTGTTTTTTCCTTTTTTATTGCCTTGGTGATGGACAGAAGAATAACACAAGGCAAATAGCATATGTGCTTCTTTGAGACTCTTTTTTCCTGATAAGCATATGCTTTCTCATGTCGAAGTTGGGACTAACTGTTTCTCAAATGTAGACCATGGTGAACCAGGTATAGACAGAAGGCATCCCTCCGTCCTCAATATGGAATCAGGGTAATTCTAGCGCAAGGTTGTTCATTGAAGGCAGTGTCTCTATGGGGTAAACTGCTTAAGACGATTTTAATTCGCTTCATTCATATCCTAACTTCCAAAGTTTGTCTGTTTGTTCTTTTCTCATTTTGGTAATCTGTACAGTATATTCTCTTTAGTCATTAAATACTGTACATTTTCTGGTTCTGGTGCTTCCGCCATCAAAACGGTATTTTTTTTAAGAGGAAATTCATTTGTTTTTGTCCCGTTTGCATCTCTTTTTCCCCACCATAATTTGTACCTAGTTTGTGAGCATTGGTTTTATCAAAAAAAAAATAAAAATTGTTAACATGGGTTGGAGTTTCTGTCTTGATTCTGGAAGCGTAGATTCTTCTCATGTGAAATCGAGGCCCAAACCGGAAAGGCCAATTTCATTTTTTCATTTTCTAATTGGATTTGGCCAACTTTCTTATTTGCAAATAATAAGCGGAATAAAGACAATTGGAAGCAACCCCATTTTCAGTATGAAATTCAGCCAAAAATATTTGGCGGCAACCCTGTTTTCAGCTGGGAGGAAAGAAAAAGAGGAAGAATCAATTGGGTTTTAGGCCCTTGGGCCCGTTCCGATCTTAAATGTTGATGGTGGGCCGTCACAGGCAAGGCTTTCGGTTGTGGCCCATACTTGCCAAAAAATGATTTGGGCCCAAATCGAGCATTTCAATGCCCAGCTCTTAATCGAAGCGAAGTATTCTGATGCTTCTCGTCTGTTTGCTGCAAACCCTAATTTCCTCCGGTCTTCCTCGAGCACCTTGCCGTCGCTTCAGTATAAGAAAACGCCTCCTTTGCTTCATTCCTTCTCCTGTAAGTCCTAATCTTAAGCTTCAAATTTTCCATCTTTTATATCGATCAATTTCGTTGAACACATTTTAATTTAATCAAATCCTTTGATCTCAGGACCCAAAAAGTGGGGGAAAAAAGCAATTATTTTTCATGGCTGGCAAAGCAGCGCAGTCTGTGGTGAAGGCAATGGGGGAATACCAATACCCATGGCGTGAGAAATTGGCTAAGTACAAAGTTGAGTTATCAAAGGGGGTGTGGGGCTATTGGGAACTTGGAGCGTGGAAGCCTCTCGGCATCAGCGCTCGCCGTCGAGCCAGGCTCCGGAAGGAAGTGCTTTTAGCAGGGCAGGATTGGCCTTACGATCCACAGAGGAAAGAGATGAGAACCAAGATGAAAGGTCACAAGTGTGACAGAATATCTGCTGAGAAAAGGGAGAATACCGCTAATTTGATGCAGAAAATGCCTGAGATGTTGCTTGCTTATAAGAAACGTAGGTGGGAGAAGAAAATGAAGGAAGAGGAGAAATTGAAAGAAAAATAAATCTGAAAACTGTTTTCATATATTTTTCTTCTTCTCTCTTTTGGGTTGAAAATAAGAAAAGATATTGGGTTCGGAATTTGCAAATGCTCAATCTTTGTACTGATGAATTCAGTGTTGGGTTTTTTTTGTTTACAAGATGTATGGGCTGAATATCGATACAGATCTTTTAATTCAAGGATTTGAAGACTTGACTGTGTTTTCAGTTCTTTTTAACCTGTTTCTCACATCTATTTGTGAATGTATGTAGTTTCATAGTACTTGCTGTGTTTCTTTTCCAAACAGAGTGCAGGGACAAGTTCAAAGCTTTAGGCAGGTGCAAGCTATGCCCAAATATGTTGATGTACTTAATGATATAATCCCAATCCATTGAATTCTCCATTGCAAATCACAGAATTTTAATCCCAAGTAGAAAAACAGGAAGCTGGCAGAAGCCAGACCAAGTAGAAAGACAGGAAGCTTGTAAATCACAGAATTTTAAGTTGGAACAAAATTTTAAGGATTTTAATCCCCGGTAGAAACACTAAAATAAGGTTCCACCGAGATTTGAACTCGGGTTACTGGATTCAGAGTCCAATGTCCTAACCGCTAGACCATGGAACCAGCTAGTATCATCTCGAAAATATTTAATCTTAAGCCTAGCACGGTTGCAGCAAGCACTTGCCACCTAGGAATTGTCAACAACAAGTACTATTATCCTTAGTGGTGGACCCCCTACTTCCTTTTAACAAACATAAATTCACTCGGCGCCCTTTTCCTAATTCTACTTTACCTCTGGTTGATGACTCATGGAATCTCCTTGTTTAGATTGTTCTTGTTCCTACTTCCTACATTTACAACTGCCTTAATTTTGGTTTACTTTATTATAGGACGTACATTAGGCCACGGATTTCCTTCCGTCATTGAACTAAAAGCGTTACGTTTCAATTAAAAATTAACTTCTCTTTCAAAATCTCTTCCTTGGTTGGAATGATCAAATGGATGATAATCAGCATCAATACCATCGGTGCAACCGACGAGGCACCCCAAACTGGCGGTGCAGTGAGAGAGCTTTGACCGGAAAGTCTTTATGCCATAAACACTATCTCTATTCCTTGCAAAGGAGTGGTAAAAAGGTGGATACGGAGAACATTGGTGAAAGTGGCAGTGAGGGTGGAACTCAAGTGTGTACTCAAAGGAAGAAGCGAAAGCGTCATGTAATTGGTCAAGGGAGTATAAATCCCGTGGGGGTGGAGGAAGTAAGGAAGCATGACGGGAATGAACAAGTCAAAGTCACCGCTGGAAATGATGGTGATCAAGGAACTCAAAGCTGGTTTGTTGAAGGCAGTGGTGGTGTTGAGAGTGTTTTGGAGTGGTTTGGTGAAGATGGTGGTGTGAATGGGGGTGAAACTTTGAAGCTTTGGGGTGTTGAAGCTGGGTTTGGACTTGCCATTGGTGGGTCTGGTGCAGCTACTCCTGGGGTTCAAGGACGGTTTGGTGGAGAAACTGGTGGACATAATGGTGAGGTCGTTGATTGCCAAGGTTGCAACCCATGGTTTGGTGTAGATGGTATATTTGGCAGTCTTGGTGGTGGAGAAATTCAGATGGGTGGGTCTGGTGGGGTTCCATTTGGAAATGGTGGAATGGGTCTTGCTGATGGACTAATTCAAGGCCTATTTAGTGGACCAAATGAGGGTTTGAATGTTGGTGTTGAAGGAACCCAGTGCTTCTCTGGTGAAGCTGAGTATGACAATGTGGAAGGTAAAGGCATTCAGGGGTTGTTTGATGAAATTGCATGTGGAAATGGATGTGAAACCCATCTTGCTGGGGAGGGAAGTCGAGGTCAAGATGGTTACTTTGAAAATGCAGGCATGCATCAAGAGAGTACGGATGGGGGAGGGCAGGTTAAGGTTAAGCGTGGTAGGCCAAAGGGTTCAAAGAATAAGAAGAAAATTCTAGGTGCTGAACAAAGTATGGAAGGGTTAAGTGATGGTAAGGTTAAAAAGCGAGGCCCCTTTAAGGGCTCAAAGAAAATGCAAAAAGGTCTTTCAGGTGAATGCCACAATGGAGGAGATGATATTGGTAGAAGGAAAGAAGATTATATCAGAAATGCGCGTTCAAAGAGAAGAAAGGAAGATGTTTCTGTAGAGGCAAATGAAACTGTGCTTGAAGACTAAACGTGGTAGGCCAAAGGGTTCAAGAATAAGAAGAAAATTGTTGCCGGCGAACAAAGAATCGAAGGGCTAAGTGAAGTTGGTGGTGATGGTAAGGCTGGAAATGAGATTGTTTGCGTAATACAGAAGCAAGGTCCGCCAATGGGCTCAAAGAAGAAGAAGATTAGCCTTCCAGGTGAGAATCAAGACATGTCTTGTCATATTGTGGGGGGCAATAATGATGGCGGAGATAAAAGTTTGAGGCCATGATTGGGAGAACGAGAGAACTACCTTTCTACTGGCAGGAGATGGGGTAATGCCTTGTGAAGTTGCCGGTAACGATGCTGGAGGAAATGATACGGGTAGAAGGATAGAGAAACAAGGTCAGCAACAGGGGCCAAAGAAAGAGAAGAAAAATCTTGCCGGAGAGTAAGTGAGAATGCGCGCAGTTGAGAGGAGGCGATGGTGGACCAAAGGGTTCTAAGAATCAGAAAAACTTATGTTGAAGAAAATCAAGATAAGTTTGGTAAAGCTGAGGGTGGTGAAGGTGCAGTTGGAATTCAGAACGGAAATAACAATGTCCTACCAAAGAAAAATCGTGGCCGGCCAAAGGGTTCAAAGAATAAGCAGAAAAGGCTTAGTAGACGAAAAAATTGGACTTTCAAGTGTACAACAGACCTTGCAATCAAAGGATAAGCAATGTTTTCTTGAAATTTCGAAGGATAAGAGGGAAAATAACGAAGATAGTGAGACCCAGGGAGTGCCTGTTGAAATTGTGGGGGTTTATTATGGTGATAAAGAGACTGTATTAGTGAGGACTGCCCTTGTAAGGGAGGAAGATAAGGTAATGCCTGGTGAAGCTATTACAGGTGGGTGTGAGATGAATTCTCTTGTAGACAAGGAAGGTAGGGGAATTCCCATTGAAAGATCTGGTGCTAATGAAGGTAAAAATGAGATTATTGGTCCTAAGGTTAAAGATTGGTGTGAAGAGGATTTGAAGAATAAGGAGCCAACTGTTACTGCAAAAGAAGAAAGCCATCAAAGTGGGGAAGCTATTGGCAAGAATGATCGTGGAAATGAGGGGCTAAAGTGGAAGCGAGGCCGACCAAAAGGTTCAAAGAATAAGAGAAAACTTTTTTTTGGCAAGGCGCCTGTGAGGAAGAAGTATAAAATTAACAAGCCTTGTGCACAGATAGAACAGGGAGAAGGAAATAATTTGAAAATGAGCCACAGTGTTTCAGGTAAGCATCTTCAAGGCAGTGTAAACATGAAAAAGAAAATACTAGTAGCTGGCATTCGGGGCAGTTTAACAGCTGATTTCGGCAATGCTCAAAAGAAGAGTAGAGGGAGGAAAAAGAAGCCTAGTAGTCAATCAGAAACTTCAGTTTCATCAGTGAGTCTTTCCATAACTATGTTTTTCTACTGCTGATGAGATTTTTAAAAGAGATTGTAATTTTAGGGCCTGTGAATTTGTAATTGAAATAACTAAACCATAAAGCATTACCCACAGTCTGTTAGTAAGAAAAAGGTCACAGGCAACGATTGGACATTTTCTGCTTTTGTATATTGAACATGCTGATACGTTAAACTGCTAATTTTTCTTATATCCTGGTATCCGATTAGAACATGCCCTGTTGCCAAAAGGAAAGCCAAACACTAAAAAGTAAAGGGATGAACATTTGGTATGACTTCTGAGTGCCACAGAAAGTTTCCAAAATATTTGAACAGGCTGCAGTGATAGTTTCTTGGGAGTAAATTGTTCCCTTCTTCTCTATCTCACCCCCTCTTCTTTTTTGTTCTGGTTGGGAGTTCTGAGGTGGGAGTATATGTTCCTTGCTGTAAGAGAAGTCACATTTCTTTTGAGTGGTATGAGATGAGAAGGGATAATATAAGGGCTGTTTAATTACTTCATTTTCCTTGCTAAAATGCCTAAAAAAGGATTTGTGGCCAGTGACCGAGCATCTCTTGCAATATTTCTGCTTCTTTACGGCTCCAAATAGTTTGATTTTGCTATTTTCTCCCCCATGAATGTATAAGCATTGGTTATGAAGCAAGGAGGAATACTAATTTTATCTATAAATGAGAGAAAAAGTTATTTTCACTTTAAAACTTTTTTTTCAATTGTCTCAATTTAATTTATGGTGCAATCACAGTGACTGAATGTCTTGATTCCAATTTCTGGTGGTATGTTATTATAGCTTGATTTCTTTGTCAGGATGATACAAGCCAGAAGCATGTGCGGAGGGGTTTGATGTGCCACCAATGCTGGAGGCCTGATAGGAGTGTTGTCAATTGTTCCAAATGCAAAAAGAAACGCTATTGCTATGAATGCCTTGCAAAATGGTAATGAGATCTTGTGAAGTTCTTTTTCTTGTTACCTGGAAGAACAGTTAAGTTTTTCTGTCTTGGAAGTTAAGTTGGTTCAATTAGCATCTGTATTCTACTCGATATTTCATTAGACCTTTGTTTCATGAACAATTGAACATTGATTAGTTGTTGATCTGTCCTGTAAGTATGAAAGGGATCTTATCCTAGGGTTTTAATGCCAATGCAAATGAATTGTATCAGGTATTCAGAGCAAACAAGAGAGGACATAGAAGTTGCTTGTCCATTTTGTCGAGGCAATTGTAATTGCAGATTATGCCTCAGGGAGAAATTAGTTGTCACAGTATGTGCCTTTCATTAATTTTCTTCTTCCTTTCTGTTTAATGTGCTAAACTTTTGTGGCTATACATTCTTGCCAACAATGACAACGTCTTTTCCTAATACTTGGCTCTGATTTCCAGCTAATCTTCTATTAGGACATTACCTGAGTAAGATCAACAGGAGCAAGGACCTTTTCAATAGTTTTATCTCATGTTCTCACTTTGCCTCCACCCCTTCTTGACATTGGAATGATCCATAAAATCAGACATCCTAACATTAGCATTTCCTAGGTCTTTGTTTACCATGTTCGAACACCTTAAACATTTCTCCTGGCATACATTCTGATGCCAACTGGCACTTGCTAATTTGACAGGATGAGCACGAGGAAGTAGATACAAGTATCAAACTGCAAAAGTTGCTTTATTTGCTACACAAAATTCTGCCTCTCCTTCGGCATATACAACAGGAGCAACATGCTGAATTAGAGGTGGAAACCAGTATACGCGGTACTATAATGTGATATGACTGCTTTCTGTAAGTTTTGGTTTTTATACTAGATGTATGGTTCAGAATGCTAAGTGATGCGTGCCTCCTTATTTTTCCATAGGTGTGCAATTGACAGAACAAGATATAATGGTATCTGTCTTAGATGATGATGATCGGGTCTATTGGTATCATCTCATGCTCTTTGATGCTCAAGGAAAAACTTGTGGCTCTTTTTTTATATTGAACATCTGATATCTTTGTTCTCTTTTATTAAACATGGCATGCAATTATTGGACCATCATGTTATTTACTTGGAAGCAACTAACATTCTTTACCATCTTAATTTTCTGTTGCTTTAATATACCTGAGACTGAAGCTCTTCTAAACTTAAAATTGGTACAGAAGGAACAACTGATGTCTGGTTCTGTGTAAACAGAAACTGTCCTTTGGAGCCATGGTTATTTGCAGTTTAGTTTTATCTTTCTAAATGTTTAAGTTAAAAAAGTAGCAGGGAGTGTAGTGGATGTGGCTCTGAAAGATGAGGTTGTATGTTAAGAGGATAGGAGATATAGTCTTTTCTGATAATACTTATTTTAGGGAAGAGTAATTAATGTCATTATCTAATGTTTTGACAAGTAGGATCAGATGGGAAAAGGGTTGGCCGAGGATAGTGCAGATTAGATGAGATTAAGTGATGTGGCTTAGCCCATATTCTGTCATTTGCTTGTCTCCTTGATCCCATCCTAAGTTGTCTTGTGGAAATTAGAACCAATTCATGCCATTGAGAAACCTCATCATTTTGTTAATGATCACTACTTTGGATTGGAGAAATTTTATATTAATAGTCGCATGCATCGCTGTTGACAGTTCTTGCTATTTTCTGTTGACTTGTGTATTTTCATGTAGTTATTAATTTTGCATTTAAAGATTATTTAAAGGAAGTTTGTATTGTTAGAAAGAATTATTTGGTGATAGTTTTTTCTTGGTCGGATTTGTTGGGTATATTCAATAATTTTTAGTATTTAGTATTGCTATGAATTGTACTAGAGCCATATCTGTTGTTTTTTCTAGTGTCAAAAGGCAATACATATTTGCATGATATTTATTACTATGAATGTCTCCTTCTGCGACAGTGACAATTGCAATACATCCATAGTCAATTTCCACAGAAGCTGCCCAAATCCTGATTGTTCTTATGATCTATGTATCACATGTTGTCATGAAATTAGAAAAGGATCTCGGCCTGGAGGTAATGAAGCAAAATTCTCTCACCAGCAGTCTGTTGAAAGAGTAAATGGTCAAGCTACAGATTCAGATGACCAGATTCGTACAGTGAGAGTAAGATGTGATTGGAAGAGCCTTGTGTCAACTGAGTGCACATCTGGCATGTCATGTAACTCTCTTGATTGGAGAGCTGAGGCAGATGGTAGGATTCCTTGTCCTCCAAAAGGAAGGGGCGGTTGTGGTAGTGAGACTCTTTCACTAAGACGCTTCTTTGGAGCTAATTCGGTTGATCAACTGATTCAGAATGCTGAGGAGCTTACTGTCAATTTTCAGTTACCTGATATTGAGTTTTCTGAAGGATGTTCTATGTGTCTTACTAGCAACTCTGCAGCAAATGAAGCAGAAAATTTTGAAGTTAGGCAGGCAGCTTATAGAGAGAACAGTCATGACAATTTTGTGTACTGCCCAAATGCTATCCAGTTGGAAGACAATAATATTCAGCATTTTCAAATGCATTGGATGCGAGGTGAACCTGTTATTGTTAGAAATGTACTTGAAAAAAGTTCTGGTCTTAGTTGGGAGCCCATGGTTATGTGGAGGGCTTTCATAGGTGCAAAAAAGATATTAAAAGAGGAGGCAAAGAGGGTTAAGGCAATTGATTGCTTGGATTGGTGTGAGGTACCTTTCACCTTTTGCATGTTTAAAGGCATCTTTGGTGATTCCATGATTTTTTTTCCCTATACCATTTCCAATTTTAGTTCCCTCTTTCCTTCTTTGCTCTATGCTTAAGGAACATCTTGACTTTTTATAACTACATTCAGAACTTTATTTTTGTAATGTGATAAATAAGTAAGATATTTGGTCAATGGTTTTCAGCACACTATCAACGGATTAAGTGTTAGCTTTTATTGAATAGCGTTTTTCAATTGAATAATGAAAGCATTCATCATCTATGCTGTCAGTTAATGAAGGTCATGTTTTACCTTGCCTAGCGCGTATGGAACTAAAGATAGGAAGCTCAGAAGATATCTTTATTTTCATTGTTTTTAATAGTTTCAATAGTGACATACATACTCATCCCTTAAGGGCAATGGGTTCTTCTTTCTCATTGGTATTCTCTTCTCCATTCCCTTGGTGGCGTGTTAGGTCAATGACTCAAAAACTAAAAGAAGTTTCACTGTTGAATGGTTTGTATACAGAGGCAAGGTTCACACCATAATTTTAGTGTAGCATGTCTCATTTTCATTGTCGTTTGCCCTTTTGTATCAAACTCCAGTCTCCATTGTCCTATACTTCTACTTATCTAATTTCTGGGATATTTCTTGGATTCTGTCTATAAATCCCCCGTTATGCGTATATGCATAATATACGGGTTTTCGGTTAAATGTATCCTTTCCTTGTTAAGACATTTGGCTAAGGGGAGCAGGAAATGAAAAATCGTTGGTAGTAATGTTTATTAGAATCATTGGTTGTATGCAGACTTCTTTTAGATTTTAATGCCTTTTGAGTACTTTCTGTGCTCTTGTGTCTGTCTTGCATGTCTGCATATGCCTGCAAATATTTTGATGTCACCTGCTACCTTGTGTGACACCTGGATTATGCTTTATGCTAAAAGTAATTTTCACAACCTAAGATGTGAACTGTGTGTTTGTCTGTTCTGGATGCTGCAGGTTGAAATAAATATAAGGCGGTTCTTCAAAGGCTACTTGGAGGGTCGTAGGTATAGGAACGGATGGCCAGAGATGTTGAAGTTGAAGGATTGGCCTGCATCAAATTCATTTGAAGAGTGTTTGCCAAGGCATGGTGCTGAATTTATTGCTATGCTTCCTTTTAAAGATTATACTCATCCAAATTCCGGTATCCTGAACCTTGCTACCAAACTTCCTGCTGTATTGAAGCCGGATTTGGGGCCCAAAACTTACATTGCTTATGGATCTTTGAAAGAACTTGGCAGAGGTGATTCAGTGACTAAACTACATTGTGACATTTCTGATGCGGTATGCAATACTCTTTACATTAACTACTGATAATGTATATCACATGATTGCCTTCTACCGTGGTATTGATATTTTCCATCACTATTCTTCTGTTCATTTACCTTTGACAGAACCAACTAGTTGATTTAAGATTTACATATGAGAAATGCAATTTCTTAAATTGTTCCTGTGTTTTGATCAGATTTACAGCATGCACATTCATAATGCCATTGATCTTATAACTTTTGGCATTTTATTGCAAGGACAATGTTCAAACTACTCCTTGATGTATTGTTTGACTTGCCAATAATGCAACTTCGGTGTCCTAGGACACTTGTTATTTCCCATTAAAAGTATGTGAAGCTTTTCTGTTTCCTCACCTGTTTAAGATTTGGATAATTTCCCAACATGTAATTTGGCATTTTACTTCGATGTTAACGTTTCTCTCCCGTTCCTCTTTCTGCCACTTCAGATCAGGAATGTGTAACTTTTCTCTTTCTCCTATGTAGGTTAATGTGCTAACTCACGCGACTGATGTGAAGATTCCCCCGTGGCAGACTAAAATCATAGATAAATTGCAGAAGAAATATGAAGCTGAAAACATGCATCCACGCTGCTGTGGTCGGACACGGAAGGTGTCACAGATATTGGGAAGAAAGCGGCGAAAGAGACCTCATAAGGGTGGAAGCAAGAATCCTGAATATTCTGCAAAAGTAGACAATATGGCAAGCAAGATTGAGGATGTTGCTGAGAGTAGTTTCTCCTTGCCAGGTGTCGATACATGCTCCAACTCTGCTGCCATTGGAGAACTTCAATCTACACATCAGCTTGATGCTAAACACGGAATGATTGAGGAAATGATGTGTAATGAAAAACAGAACCACAATATTGAAGGGGAAACACATAATATCATCGAGGGAGGTTCTCTTAATCGAATTGAGGATTTAGGGTCTGTAAGACCTGATACAAATACGACTAGAGAGTCTGTTACAGAAAATCAGTCTTCAGACAATGCACATGGTGGTGCTGTTTGGGATATTTTCCGTAGGGAGGATGTACCTAAGTTAATTGAATACTTATGGAAGCATCAGAAAGAATTCCATCACATAAGTAACCTTCCTGTAAATTCTGTGCGTATCATTGCCTTCTCATCCATTGCCCATCGGGATCATATTTTTAGGAAAATTCTTTTAAATTGATGTGCTACATGTGCTTTAGGTTTTTCATCCTATTCATGATCAGACCCTTTATCTCAGTGAGAGACATAAAAAGCAGCTGAAGGAGGAGTTCAGTAAGAAGTTGCTTTTTTTTAAAGTCTTTTTCATTGCACACTAAATCATCTCTATCCTTTTTAATAGCAAATTGTTCCACAGATGTTGAACCTTGGACATTTGAGCAACATGTTGGTGAAGCTGTTTTCATTCCTGCAGGATGCCCGCATCAAGTAAGAAATAGACAGGTGAGGATCCTCCAGCATTCAGTAGGCCTGTTTTTGATAAGCCTGCTGCATGGCAATGCTAGATAACCTATCTGAACTTGCTTTCTTACGTGATGTGGTTGTGGTTTGTCCTCCACCCAGATGAATGTTTCCCTGAGATAGTTTGACTGTCTAAACTCAAACCCTGATCTGTATTTACAAAAATTTATTTTATTTCAACGGCAAGGTATATTGTAGATCCATTTGAAATTATAACCAGTATCAGTATTTCAGCTTAGATCTCATTAACCTTTTGATGTGGCCTTACTTACTGAAGTTGACAATCTCACCTTTTTTTTTCCAGTCATGCATTAAAGTAGCCCTTGATTTTGTGTCCCCCGACAATGTGCAAGAATGCATCCGATTGACAGAAGAGTTCCGCTTACTCCCCAAAACCCATAGAGCTAAAGAAGATAAATTGGAGGTATTAATTGACTCATTGTTAGGCAACACTTAATTTATCTGGTCCTACATGTTAAGTTAATATTGCTTTTCACTCATATAAAACAAGTGATGACTAATGTGCACTGGCAGCTGTCCTATCAACTTGCTAATTATTACTTAGAAAGATTGCTTTGATGTTCATGAGACAAAATTATAGATGTTTGTCAACTGAACATGATTTCATATCTTTCTGTTATGCTTTTGGTGTTCAATTCCATGCAAATTTGGCTGCTTTAGTTACTAAATATAAAGATGTTTCTTATTCATGCAAGGTAATCTTTGTATAGGTGAAGAAGATGGCAATATATGCTGCAAATCTTGCAGTAAGGGAGGCCAAAAAACTGAGTACAAACCTCAAGTAAGGTCAAGTTTGCTGTTTAACTCTTATCTCCTGCTGATGATTGTAATTTAGTTTAACTCTTGGAAATAATGTGTTTGGAGACTTCGCATAATTTTTAGATGTCATTTTCAGCAATTGCTACATGTGAAGTTGCTAGCTCAAATGAATATGTTTTGACTGGAGTATTTCTCCACTGTTTCTTTAGTTAGTATTCACCATCAGAGAAAATATGCAGATTCCTTAGAGCTTCCTTAATTAATAGGGGGAACTTCATTAGCTGATAAAATTGCAGATTCCCTGAAGCTTGCTATTACCAGAATTTTACGGGGATTGAACCATTAAAGAGGATTTCTATGACTGTACCAATCTCAACATAAAAGCAAAGAACTCATTTTAATGAACAAGGGCAAATGAACATATATCTGGCTCATTACGAACATCGAATAGATGAATAAAACCATCATATTTCTTGAAAGGTTGATCGGAGATTGTATAGTGAAATGACGTATTTGTGGTTCTTGATTAGACTTTTGTGCTCTGTTATCCAAAGTTTGTGAACCCAATGCTAAGCGGCTATGACTACAGACCTACAAGGATATTTCTGGAGATTTGAGTTTTAACAACAGAAGTTAAGCCACATGCATCTATGTTGCAGTGCTGGAAAGAACATCCTGGTCAGTTTTGCATGTATTGGATCAAGCTTGTAAAATTTAAACTAGACTGATGGAATTAACACTGTACGTATGTTTGAAAATAAGGATTTACTACTTTCATTTCAGTTTTTTATTTCATTGACAAGTGGATTTAATTAAAGACATTTTCCTATTGCGGTGGAGGTGTAAAGCATCTACCAAGCCAATGCACTGGGGGATGTACCTGTTGATTGGTATAAACATGCTGCTCTTGCTGCTGATACTAAGATGGCAATGGTAAAGCCTCCCACGGAAGTTTATAGAGGTAAACAATTAGATAAGTAGGGAGGGTATCAGACATCAGCCTGGCCTATAGAGCTACTCTTTGTCGCAGCATCCTTCTACAAATTGGCAATGCCGGTTGCAATGGACTCTAGAGACTATAGATATGGATTTCAGTACTGGGCTATTTATATTATAACAGCTAACAGCAAGGATTTTTTATTTAAGTTTGCATACATTTGTTTTAGGCATGAGGAAAAAAATTTAAAAAAAAAAGAAATTATTAAATGGATACTTTAGTAATTATATGACACGTGACTAGGTAAGTTACCTGCAACTCCAATGCTTCACTTGATATGTAAACATTAGTAAGTTATCTCATATGAGATTGTGTTTACTTGTTGGGCCTTAGATTTATTGGCTTGTGATGGCCCTCTGTCACTTTGCCGTTCATCCAATGGAGACACAAGCAAGCCTAATTGTGGCTGGTGGGTGCCCACAATTAAATACCAACCCACAAAAGAAAGTAGTTGCAGATATTCTAATAGCAGGTTTCAGTAACAAATTCTGCTACAATTTAATTAAGTTTTCCAGCAGGCTTGCATGTTAACTATTTCAGCTGCATTCTGCAGCAGGTTTTTGTGTCAAACTGCCCAAATACAAGCCTTCATTGCTTGGATGTATGGTGATTGTATGAGAAGGGTGTCTTTTACATTACTACCATGTATTTTCTGAGTCTTCCATCGTTTTCATCCCTTATTCTTTGCTTTTGTCTGCAGTCTTATACTTGGTTAGTGTATCAATGTCATATTAAGACAAGAAACTCACTGAATTTGCTTGAAGGAAAAAGAATCTAGAGGGGGGGATAAGCCTTAAAAGTCATGTAAAAGATACAGATCCTAGCATCCTAGTCTCTTTGCCTGTAAGCTCGGACCAAAATGTAAGGTTGGCAAATGCGACTGATGATTGCAAAAATGGGAATGTCCCCTTGCTAGAAAGAAAGGCGTTTGGCCCTTCATTAATAAATGCAAAATAGACCCTAAGAAGGCTTACTATTTGTCTTCAGACTGAACCTCAACAAGATGTAAATATCTTTGCCCATGTCTGTAGGACAAATTTTGAAAGGGTAATTTGCAGCACTGGTAGTGGTCAAGGCAATCTCAAGCCAAGCCTATACCAAAGCTTCTTTATCAAAATTAAAGGATTAAACGTGATATTCAACAAAGATATATTTCTCTGCTATCTTGTGCTAATAAAAATTTCGATAAGTTTCATTATATTTTAATTTTAATTTTAAAAAATTTAGACGCCGTCGTTTTTGAAGTCTCTAACTTACCCTTTTAACCCCAAACATAGGGACAGATATTCCCAAACTCATCTGTCCTCTTCTGTAATTAGATATTTTCTGATTTTTTTTTCTTTTTTCTTTTTATCCTTTTGATTAAGATATACCTATTCTTCACTTCTTCATCGTCCTAGTTTATCTCCTTCTAACAAAGAATTCCCTCTCGTGTACATGGTAATCCCAAAATCTAAGAAAAACCCAATTCAATTGAACCCCTCGAATTGTTTATCTTTCTTCTTCCCATGGCTGCTGCTGCTGCACTCAGATCCAAACCTTCCGTAGAAACAGCCTCTTTGACGGTCTCTCAATTCAGACACTTCCTGTCTAATTACATGCACTATGGTCGCATGGCTAGCTCCTCTCACTCTACTACCTACCGTACCAAATGGGACGACCACTTTGTTAACACTCCTTATCACTTCACTTCTTTCAAGCCCGTCTCGCTTCGGGGTGAACTCGTCGAAAAGGGTTCCCAGTTATTGGATATTAGGAGAACTTGCCGCGGCTTAAATAAGGATTTCGATAGAGAATTGAGAGAGAAATTGAATTATAGTAATTGTACGGTGTTGAGTTCTTATGGAGATCCACCAGAGGTTTGGCAGCCCCCAGGGGATGGGGTTGCGATTCGTGTTAGTGGGGTGAATTTGGGCCGTGGTGGTGGAGGAGGAGCTGGAGGGGGAGGAGGGGCGAGTACAGGTTCTGGAAGCGGGTTTGGGCCGGGTTCAAAGGATGGGTGTTGGGGTGGATCCAATTTGGGGCATAATTTCCCGACTCCGAAAGATATTTGTAGAGGATTGGATAAGTTCGTGATTGGGCAGGAGAGGGCAAAGAAGGTGATGGTTATCATGTTTTATTGGCGTTGGGATTTTTATTATTATTAGTTTACTCTGTTTCAACAAAAGATGATCTTTGGTTTGGACTACTATAAGCGATAAAAGTACTTAGAAATTAGAATCTGCACTGATTGATTGGTTCCTTAATGCTATTTGAGAGTTTTGAAGTTTTATGCATATCATTATCTTAATTTGTGTTGATATGGAGACGTTGAATTGTGTTGACCATTTGTCGTAAGGATTGACAATATAACACTCTGCCACTTGTGGTGGATAATTTATAGTTGTTGAGGTGGTACAAACTGAAAAACACACTGTTCTTGAAGCTACATGTAAAAATCCTTTACATTTTGTGTTCTGGTCTAATGTTATGCCATAAATGCAGGTTCTATCAGTGGCAGTTTACAACCACTATATGAGAATATACCACGAGTCATTACAGAAGCGGTTAGTTTAGTACCTTCAAGATATGCAGTTCTTGTTTTAATCTGGTTCGTTCTTTTCATTGCTATGCATGTAACATTCTTAGATGGTTGAGGTAGTTAATTGTTAGACGTGCAGTTTTGCTTATGTCCAGAAACATTATGATTACATAATAAGATGAAACATTTAGAATATTTAAATATTTTGAAAAAGAAAAAATAAGAAGAAGAAGAGAAAAGAGAAGGAAAATGTCATAGTAAAGTCCAGGAACTTTTAGCATATTGAAGATCTTTAGTTATGCTCTATTCCTATTGGTTGCGACAGTCAGTTGCTGTACCAGTACTGTTTAGTGAATTTGGAGCGTATCAAGGATAGCTTTGTGTTAACAGTGTCAGCTTTCAAAAGGTGGCAGCTTTTTTTTTATTCTCGTGCACATATTCTTGTGTCTATTTTTGCATTTGCTGCTCTTTATACTGTGTTCTTTAAGGGGAATATCTGTTATTAACATGTTTTCTTGGTAAGCTAGGCCTGCAGGAGACTCAGGTAGCAATATAGCAGATGTACTAGATGATGATATAGTGGAACTGGAGAAAAGTAACATTCTTTTAATGGGGCCGACAGGGTCAGGTAATTTGTTATCATACTTGGTGTGAGAATTGAGCATTCTATTTCAATATTTCCACTTGGTAATTGTTAACTGTTTCTCATAGGTTCATTTCAAGAGAGATTTTCTTTGATTGAGTTGCAGTTTTGTTAATTCATCACAATGTCTTCCTCTTTATTTTAACATTTAAATTGAGGTGTGAGGATTCATTGACCTCCGCTTTTACTCATGATTTTTTACTAAAATTGTCATGTTATTATTGTTTACCAGCCAGTTGAGGTTAGCTCAAGTAGTTTCAATGTTCATTTGATTATAATCATCTCTATTTTGTGTTACTAGTCTCACATGTTCCCTTTTGACGTTGTTTGAAGGACAGGGAAAACATTACTTGCGAAAACCTTGGCTCGCTTTGTGAATGTTCCTTTTGTTATTGCGGATGCAACTACCTTGACTCAGGCAAGCTGGTGGCTTTGGATTGTTGTGATTAAATGTCTCTATTTCTTGCTTAATTGAATTTATTTTGTCTTCTGGTGCTTTTCACTATCATTTAATTACCTGTGCAGTAAACAATTAATAACCTTCATGAGTCCTGGAATTTTGGTTTTCTTTCTATAAATGTGCTTCTAGGATTCTTTATTTGTCTTCTCGGTGTTAAAAAACATTATTTAGATGAAATTTAGTTGACAAAGATGATCAAATTGCTCAATGGAGCACATAGACATTGAAAGTAAACTGGGTTTTCCCTATAATTGTACTGTCTTCCCTGCTCCCAGCGTAAGGATCTATGTGGAGGACTACTTAATACCAGAGTTTGATGCTGTCTATGTCCCTGTCCCTTTGCCATTTTCTTTGTCAGTTTATTTGATTAAATTAAGAGTGAATATATGTTTTAGTGTAATTCCTTGTTATTATTCTTCATCTGTTTTATGAAAATATTTCATTATTTATTATGCCTTTTCATTGGAAATTTTATTGTTATTTATATAAGAGTGACATGGAACTTAGCTGTTTCCTCTTTATGCTATGTGCAGGCAGGGTACGTAGGTGAAGATGTCGAGTCTATATTATACAAGCTCCTTGTGGTAAATTCGAGAGCCTTATGTATTCTACCTGAATTAACATGCTTTGAAGTGCAACTATTTGTTCATTTGACAACACCTTTTAACGGCATTCACTTTCTTTCTCTTCTGAAGTTAGCTTTATTACTGGTGGAGGAATATAAACTTGGCATCGGATAGGTCTTCATATGAGAAACTTTAAAGTAGTATTAATAAAAGTGAAAAGTTTTAGAGTAGCATATGAAAGTCACTTTCATTGAGGCCAGCATAATGTATATGGGACTTCTTATTTCTTGTGAGAAATATGTTGGGATTGTACTTTAAGCCTGTTGTTGATTAATAATCGCTTTTTGAATCCTCTTTTATACACTTTTTCAGGTTGCTGATTATAATGTTGCAGCTGCACAACAGGGCATTGTTTACATTGATGAAGTTGATAAGATTACCAAAAAGGTTCTTTTCCGTCTTCTTTGCAAAATTCTGTTTGCTTTAATTGTTCTTTCTTCATCTCTTTTTTCTTTCTATGCAGGCTGAGAGCCTTAACATTAGCAGGGATGTGTCTGGGGAGGGTGTTCAGCAGGCATTACTAAAGATGCTAGAGGGAACAGTAAGTGCATGGTTTACTAACTGTGGAAGTATTATACTGTTAAATGACAATCGGAAGCTGTGGGACCGGATTTTAGGATTCTTGATGCTGGTTATGGATAAACGCCAGATCAATCCATAAACCAACTAATCACCATTGTAATTAGTAGTTAATTGGGTTGACTTAATAAATGGTTCACTATTCTGACCCATGGAGCCTTTTTTATTGATCCAGATTGTTAATGTTCCTGAGAAGGGAGCTAGAAAGCATCCTAGAGGTGAAAATATTCAGGTATACACACTCAGTGTAGTAACAGTGTTTCATGGGTGTTTACTTATTTACATTATAAGGTATAAACTATGTAAAGCTCGTGGATAAACTATTAATTTTGCTGTTATTTTCAAGATTTTATCATGAATTCATCATGACAAAACGTTTGACTGATTTTGCTGGGTCCTGTATTTTCATACTTATTTCCCTCTCTATGTGGGACCACTTTGTTATTGATGATTTTCTTTATACTTTTTCACAGATTGACACGAAGGATATACTCTTCATATGTGGGGGTGCCTTTATTGATATAGAGAAAACAATTTCAGAAAGGTTATACCAATATTTGTGTCCACTAATTTTAGAATACAGCTAACTTTATTTTCCCAATGTCAATTTAAAATTTCTTGAATGCATTTCAGACGTCAAGATTCTTCTATTGGTTTTGGAGCCCCAGTGCGTGCAAACATGAGAGCTGGTGGTGTTACAAATGCTGCTGTGGCATCAACTTTAATGGAGTCTGTAAGTGCTCCATAACATTCAAGATGATTATTGTAAGTGGCTTAGACATAACAATTGAAGATACTCACATTCTATATGAACCCCTTGTGTTTGACAGGTTGAAAGTAGTGATCTCATTGCATATGGTTTGATACCGGAATTTGTTGGACGTTTCCCAGTTCTTGTCAGTTTATTGGCTCTAACTGAAGAACAACTTGTTCAGGTGAATGTTTTACTTTGTTTCTTGCTCTCAAGTCTGCAAATTATATTTTTCTAATAATGTTTTACTAGTTTATTGTGGGATGATCAAGAATGGCAGGAAGTGGTTGGCTGGTTGCCGACACTCTTGCAGTCAAAATTTTGAATTCTTTTATTAGGTTTCATGAATAAAAGGTGCCCCCGTGTTACTTTATTCTTTATCTCTCAACATGTTTTTAGAAACATGTAATGGATGATTAATTATCTATGCAAATTGTTCTCCTGATTATGGTCTTTGAAGGTGATACTATTGTTCTTTTAAATTTTTCCTTTCTTGCACAGTGATGCGATTGTTTAATTCAGCTTCGTATATGACTCTTACCAGCACCAATACTCTTGTAGGTTCTAACAGAGCCAAAGAATGCCCTAGGCAAGCAATACAAAAAGATGTTCCAAATGAATGGCGTGAGTTCTTTATCTGTCCAGACTTTGGAACACTAATTCCGTTCATACTCAGTAGATTTAATTTGTCTGCAGTCATGTACAGCCAATTGATTTCACTTTGATCTTCTTTCCCTCAGGTCAAACTGCATATCACAGAAAATGCTTTGAAATTAATTGCCAGAAAAGCAATATCTAAAAATACGGGGGCCCGGGGTTTAAGAGCCATCTTGGAGAATATCTTGATGGATTCCATGTATGAGGTATGCTGTGTTGTGCTATTCCGATTTTTGTTGTTGACTATGAAGACCGTAGAGTGCCGGTGTTGTGGAAGCCCTTGTTAGTGAATTTGTTATCAAGTGAAGAAAGTTGTTTAAAATTGATTTATGCTTGATATGGCCTGTTTTTAATAGGACTCTATCTGCAGCCCAAGAATGCCTGAATGCATAAATCTGTTGCTTAACCCAAGCAGAAAAAATTAGGAAATTTTGGTAGCTATCAGAACAGTGGTCATGATTAGAATTATATCTTAAACTTCTCTTATTGGATCTAGGAGGGCCTTTCTCAATGGGACTTCTCTGTTTCTGTCGCTGTAGTCCCTGCCATCTAGAGCAATGTGCTTGATATGGCCTGTTTTTAATAGGACTCTATATGCTGTCCAAGAATGCCTGAATGCATAAATCTGTTGCTTTACTCGAGCAGAAGAAATAAGGAAATTTTGGTAGCTATCAGAGCAGTGGTCATGATTAGAATTATATCTTAAACTTCTCTTATTGGATCTAAGAAGGCCTTTCTCAATGGGAATTCTCTGTTTCTGTCGCTCTATATCCTGCCATCTAGAGCAATGTGCTTTGGATAGTTAAAACCTTCTTATTACGCATGCTTTGGCCTTATATGGACTTGAGCACTACTATGATATGTCCTCTGAATGGAAGGACCATTTCCAGCTCATCCCTCTATGTACCCCACTCCGGTGGGACCATGACTGTTTAATGACCTTTTTCTCTCTCCAAATTAGCACCTCCCCCTGCCCAACTTCTTTGCCATTTAAACCAAGACCCATGGCATGTTCCTGCTTAGCTTGATTGCTGTCATGGACATGCATTTGGAGATTTTGCAAAATCCAGCAGAAAGTTCAGCTAAACATTTGGCTTTGGGGGTAAACAAACGTGAACATCTGCCTACATTCAATTTAGAGCAAGGTGTTACTAGGTTAGATTATATCACTGTTTTGTCTGGTGACTCTTTGAATGCTAATTTGTTGTGGACCAATTGTTTTCAGAGACACGCAACTTTATTTTCATGGATTTTATTATATCTCTACTTGCAGATTCCAGATATCAGGACTGGTGATGATGTAATAGATGCAGTAGTAGTTGACGAGGAGGCTGTTGGATCTGAAGGCCGTGGAACTGGGGCTAAGATTCTTTATGGTAAAGGTGCATTGGACCGATACCTTTCACAACAAAAATCGAAGGACTTGGAGGTACATACGACTTTGGGTACATTTGTATCTGATTTTTGCATTTTGATGAGGAGCTAATACTTACAATTCTGTGTTGCAGACAACTGCAGAGGGATCGGATGGGGAGCCTGAGGTGGAAACGGAGCTTCCTTCAGTAGTTGCCAGCATGTGATCAATTTGATGAAATTGTAGATGTAACTTCATTGTACATAATAAGCTCACATTAATTTAATAGATTATGCATGCAATTACTATCATTTCTTGGAAACATGCAGTTTTAATTTACCTTATTAGCAAGCAACCCCATTCCATATGGATATTGATTCATCTCAGTTCAGTTATTTCAGTAATACAGTGACTGAGATTCAGTGTTGTATGAGCTATATTTATGGATAAATATACATAAAGTGTTATTGATTACAAAAGAAATTAAATCATGATTCATGCCTGGCATCGTTTTTACGAAGACTTTGATTGCTCTCCCTTCGCCCTCACTAGGTAATAATTTGTGCCACCTTGTGAATAAGCTTTTCAATAATCATGCGATTACAGCGTAGCTTCAATTCCCGCATTATAATACACAAACTCCATACTTACCTCATTATTACTTTATTTTAACAAATTTTAAAATAGTATAATTTATTATACTGGCATGACTTCTACCTATCGAAAAAGGGGCACAAAAGAGAAATAAATGAGTTGCAATTGTTCTCCTTTTACTGAGTACATACGAAATATCCAAATACTAAACCCCTGTTAATAAGTGGAGTGAAGGAGGGTAGAGAAGATGGAGCAAAGCAAGCAGCATAATAATAATTATATGTTTGCCTTAAAACTGTTTTTCACAAAAATAAATTTTAGTATCTTTGTTGTGTCTTGTTTTCTTTTATTTATTTATTTATTTATTTATCTGTATAATGATCCTAACCCAATCAGCACCGTTTGATTCTTCTCCATCTAGCCGTTGAAAACTTGAATTTCAACCTCTGTATCTGTAAACTTTGAACCGAAATGTTGGGGAGAGAGAGAGTAGATAGACGTAAGATAGAGGGGAGAAAGAAATAGAAAAGAAAGGTGTTATGTTACGTTAATGTTAAATATATGACTTTATGATACCAACAAAAACAAAAAAACAAAAAACAAAAATTAAAGAAAAAAAAATGAAAGAGAAAAAAGAGCCAACGAAGAAAAGAACCTCTTTTTAACGAGAGAGAAAAGAGGGCCTGTTTGGTTCTTTGGAATCCGTCTTTTCTCTCCTAAATCTTTTCTCTCGTCATCCCTCATCTCTTCTCTCCCTCTCTTCTTCTTCCTCTACACTGGAATTCCGAAAAAAAAAAGGTGAGAGAAAGAGAAAATTTTGAGAGAAGAAGAAGAGAACAGGAAAAAGCAAAAAAAAAAAAAAAATTGGGGTGGGAGTGGGGGTTCACCGTTCATTTTGTAAATTTCTTTGTAGTTTTGGGTCTGTTTTAAATAAATAGTAATCTGAGATTTAGGGTGGAGTGTATGAATGGAGTTGGATAGTATTGAGTGTGTGTCATCCACAGATGGAATGGATGAGGATGAGATCCATCACCATAATCTGCACCATCCACACCCTCTTCACGGCCACCATCAATTCTCATCTTCAAAGCCTCACAATGGCACCAACAACACCGCCAATGCTAATAGCATCAACAATATTGTGGGTCCTACGGCGATCGCTCCGGCTACCAGCGTTCATGAATTGTTAGAATGCCCTGTTTGTACCAATTCTATGTACCCACCAATTCATCAGGTCTGTCTTCACCATGCTTTTTTTGTATATCAATTTTGGGGGTTCTTCATTTCTTTCGTTGTTGTTAATTTTGCTATTTTTGGCTGATTTTGTTCAAATTTTTTTTATCGATGGGTTTGAATAGATTTGCTGTGCATTCTGTGGGATTTCGTCTATTTCATGTTGCTAAGAAAGAAATTGATTTGAGATTTCTTCTGGGTTGGATTTAAGTTTAGATTCCTTTTTAAGCCCCGTTTTTTGTTTATTATTGTTATTATGGAAAGCATTGTCTATATTATGGTTTCGTTTCAATTTTAACATGAATTATAGATTTTTATACATATTGCTTTAGCATGCTGTGGTCGAAATCAGAGCTTGTCATTAATGTTATGAATTTGTCATAAGCATGGTTTGTAAAATTGAAATTAGTATTGTGTTCACTTGAAAGGAATGATGGACTACTTATGATGTAACATATGTAGATTGAGGATTTTGAGTTTTGACTTAAACTGGATTTATCGGATTGATTTGCTGCTAATACGTAGTCACTGTGTGGAAGCACCAAGTCATGGCTTATATTTACTGTGAGAAAAAAAAATGTTTGATTGCATGTTTGAGTTTGATAGTGAGATGATTATTTTTAGATATTGGAATAGTAATTTCCCTTAAGAAGTGCTACATGGACAGTGTAGTAAATCAATTCCTAAGCACTTGATTCAAGTTTTCAGGGAGAACATGGAAATAGTTTTAAGTTTTTGCCTGCAAACTTCACCAAGATAGATGGCAAGGAACAAGTGCAAGCTCCACTCTAAAGGGGAGAATCAGTTACTTTTTAAATTGAGAATCCTTTCAAGAAATATTTACGATTGGTGCAGGATGTTTTTCGGGTTCGGAAGTTTGCTTGTTGAACTGTTGTTCTGTAACAAATAGAGAGACACAAAATATTGGGGTAGTTTGAAATGTTCTTGTTTTTTCTTGCTTTTATATAGGAGATGTTGGAGTGGAACCCTGAGATCTCTAATTTCTTGTTTGATTAGATAGCAATGGTAGATGATAAAAGAGTGAAGAACCATGATAATAAACTTCAGTGTTTGTTAATAATGGTTAATTGCAATATCCTTTTAAAACCTTACGACAATAATAACAACGAGAAGGAATTTAAAATTTTTCTGAGCTCAATCTTGGTACTTGCAAATAATAGAAGGTAAACTGCTCTCTTTAACAATACAGCTTTTTGCAGTGCCACAATGGACATACACTTTGTTCTACATGTAAAACAAGGGTACACAACCGGTGCCCCACTTGTAGACAGGAACTTGGTGATATTAGATGTTTAGCATTGGAGAAGGTGGCAGAATCCCTTGAATTGCCTTGCAAATACTACAATTTAGGATGCCCAGAAATCTTTCCCTATTACAGCAAACTCAAACATGAGGCAATTTGCAACTACAGACCATACAATTGTCCATATGCTGGATCAGAGTGTTCTGTTGTTGGGGATATTCCTTTCCTGGTTGCCCATCTGAGGGATGACCACAAGGTGGACATGCACACTGGCTGCACGTTTAACCATCGTTATGTGAAGTCCAACCCCCGTGAAGTGGAAAATGCTACTTGGATGCTAACAGTAAGTTTTGTAATTTTTATACTGCATTTTCCATTTTATAAACCAGTGAATAAATGGCCCACTACATGTTAGAAAAAATAAAAAGTGCGCTATTGTTCAACCATGACATCTTTTAATGAGAAATTTCATGGATGGTCATATACAATGGGGCACAATGTAACAAGCTGAAGAAAACTGCATTCACCAAAAAGGGGGAAAAAAAAAGAAACACTATTTTCTCTTAGAAATAAAATTCTCTGGTCTGTAATTATCTTCCAAAAAATGAGACTCAATGTCTTATCTGCTCTTTGTCAGGTCTTCCATTGTTTTGGTCAATATTTCTGCCTTCACTTTGAAGCCTTCCAGCTGGGCATGGCCCCTGTCTACATGGCATTTCTACGTTTCATGGGTGATGAGATTGAGGCTAGGAACTATAGCTACAGCCTTGAGGTTGGAGCAAATGGCCGGAAACTTATATGGGAAGGTACCCCACGTAGCATCCGTGATAGTCACCGGAAAGTCAGGGACAGCCATGATGGTCTAATTATCCAACGTAACATGGCACTTTTCTTCTCTGGTGGGGACAGGAAGGAGCTAAAGCTTAGGGTTACTGGAAGGATATGGAAGGAACAACAAAATCCAGATGCTGGTGTGTGCATACCAAACTTATGTAGCTGAGAGAATTGATTTTGATAACTTTTCCTTGATTTGTTTTGAACGCTTTCTGCTGTGTGTTCTACCTCTGCCAACGCTTTCTGGTATGTTATAATGGATGGAAGTTTTCAGAAGGCTTGAAAAGTTTTCAGCTTCTATGAAATTTTTAATAAGTGTATTTTCTTCCCTAACCTTGTGTTTGCAATAATATGACCATTTACTGATGCACCAGTTTGACCATAGCTCATTAATCCTGTCATTCTAGCTGTTTACACTTGGTGATGTCACAAAATGTGCCAGCTTGAGATGGAGTAAGAAGTTTTCCTAAAACATCTATAAATCACTAATTCTAATTTAGATTTAAATCCAGATGAAATGGTTTATAAAATGTTTAGCTTGCTCATTGTGCAGCTTTGCAAGTTTGCAATTCTTTGATGAAATCTTTTGTTTCAGGTTTTTTATTTCCCCATGCTCTCCCGGTCACCCCTGCGCAGCTAGACCAAGACATTGGAAATCTTAAACAAGACAGTTTATTACTTTGATTGCCATCAAATCCATTTATTGCTGCAAAACCATCCGTGGCAGCAAACCAACAACTCCTTTCCCCTTGTTTACTGATGAAAACATCAATACACCTTCTCTGCAGCCCCCATGTACCTGAGTTTGCTAGACTGCTTCTCGTCTTTTCACTTATAGCAAGTTTACTTAAAGCAAAAGTCTACTAGCGATGCAATATTTCAATCCAAAATTTTAGCTATAAATATGGTACGATACTGGGCTTACAAACCCCTTGTAGATAGATAACTTACCTTCATCCCATCACATTAAATTCTTTGGAGAAACTGAATCCAGTCACTTCGCACCGGTGCACCAGCGGAGTGCGGTGCAATAAGAGACGGATTGCAGCCTGCGATTCAGAGGGGGATAAAGCCAATTTGAGTTGGAACTCAAGGCAATGCATTGGTTGTTAGATCGCTCTCATGTATTGCAACTCTGATGATAACTGGTTTCTAAGAGTAATCATTTGATTGTTATAATGAGGGAGGCTTGATTTATGACCCGTGTAAAATTTTACTCTCTAATCTCCATCACTTTTCGTCACTTTCCCCTCCTCTAATCGTGTTTTGATTGCATTGCAAGTCTAGCAAGATATGGACTGTTTGTTTACAACTATGTAAACATGCTTATTCCTTTGAAATGGGTTAAGCTATGACATTAGAATCTGCATGACTTCATACAGTAAAAGTAGGGACTGCGCCAATTAATGGCCTCCTCGGTGGTCCATTTTTCTGTTTTATTAAGAAGAATTAACTTTTAGGAGTTTGGACATAAGCAATGAGACCAGGTTTGCTCCCTGATCTTAGTCTCAACGTGGATCTTCAATGAATAGCAGCTATAAATAAGAGACCGAAATACCTTGAACTACAATAACCATGTTTTTTTTTTTTTTGATTTTTTGTCTTAAAGTTTAACAAATGGGCTGTGTCCGAGGAAGACAATCTGTTCAACGGGAGTCCGCTACATTTGCAAGTCCCTGATAATCACTCAACACATTGATGAAGTTAGGAACGACACATCCCCATTACTTCCCTCTTGCTTTTATGGGTAGCCATGTGGACAAACATCATGTTAAGTCCTATTTTCTACTTTTATGATTAATGTTATTTTTAAAAAAAAAAAAAGTAAAAATTCTATTAATTTCAAAAGCTTGTATGTTATAACAAGTCTTGAATTTTGTAAATAAAAGATTCCTAGTGACATATCAAGCTATGGAAAGAAGAGTAGTGTAATTACAAAAGGACTTAACAACTCAAATTGACAAAAGCCTTATCATAGGAAAATCGAGTCCCTGAGCTAACAGAGGGCCTATCCCATCTGTCCAATTACCAACTAATAACCACACAAAATCAAGAAATGCAAGAGGAAGCAAAAACGGAATTCCTAGGATGCTTGAAAACGTTGGAAAGGAAATCGGAAAGAAGCTCTACCCTGAGGGACTAATATTGGCCTATTGGGTTATCCAAGTCCCTTGCTGACCCTCAAAACTTTATGATTGGACTCGACAACTTCAAAAGAAAAAACAGGTTGAAATTCTGTAGAAATGAAACGTGCTTATCAAGCCCAACAAGATTTTATCTTCAGTTTTTGATCTTGGTATCCAAAATAAAAGAAAAATCTTTGGGGGCTCTAATGCCACCATTAAGTCCAAGCTATGCCACTATTTCAGTACTAAAAAGAGGGAGCTCAACATATAATCTGCAGCACTCTGAAAAAAATTGTGCTATTTTCAATAATTATTCAACCCGCATTCCCACTAATAATTAGAGACTATGAAGTGAATCAAAACCTGATTTCAATATCCCTAAATTACAAATAGATTGATTGGACAAGCAGATAACGTTACGTCCATAACGGAATACAGAAGATGATACTTTCTCATTTCAAAACCATCGAGATATTACCTGCTATCTTTCTCGTCGTCACTTTTTACCACGTTTGATCAGAATGATTTTGTATCAACAGCACCAGAATCTGCAACAGTAGCTTCACCACTGAATTTGAGCCTGCTGCAACAACTCTGTAACAGTAGCTTCTTCAATAGGCCCTGCATTCCCATCTTGTGCTTGCACTTCACCTTCAGAGGCAGCTTCAATGGTGCTTTCATTGGCCGCAGTAGACTGAGTTTCATCTTCTTTTTTCCCAAACAATTTAGACGGAAGTAAAGAAGAGACAGCAGCTTTTGCACTTCTCTTGGCTGCTTCCGCAGCCTCAATTTCTCTAGCCTTAGCTTCAGCCTTCAGTCTCTCTTTCTCCTCCATAAGCTTTGTCAAATCCTCTTCTCTCCCTTCGTTTCTTAACTCCTCTTTAACAAACTCCTGCAACTCCTCATTAAAGTCAACACTTTCATCATCCAACATCTCGTCAACCATTTTCAGCACAACATCCAACTTCCCCACATCGCTAAGTGCTTTTATCATAAACTTATAGCTTGCATCATCCATCTTGAGCTTTTGCACCATCGTATCATAAAACGATTTTGCCTCATCCACCCTCCCCACTTTAACCAATTCATCGACCAATCTATTATAAACAGCCAAGTTGGGCCTCAAACCGACTCCATCATCTTTCTAAAATAAGAAGCCCCATCATCAATCCTATCCACTTTAAAACAAGCATCCATCAGTAAAACATAAGTATACTCATCAGCGTTAACCCCCTTATCTCCCATGTCACCATAAAGGTCCTCAGCTTCACCCAACAGTCCATTTTGACACAGCTGATCAATCAAATTGTTAAAAGACAAAGTATCCGGACTACATCTATAATCACCCATTAACCTAAAGCCTCCATTGCTTCCTTAAACTTACCTTCTGCGCAATACCCATCAGCAATCACATTAAAGCTTCCCAAATTGACTGCTAATCTCCTAGGAGGACTGTGCTCATTTTTCATCCTATCAAACAACCTTAAGGCCTCATCAAACTTCCCATTCTTACTTAATGCGTCGAGAACATAATTATAAGCAACAGCACTCATTTTAACCTTTGAATTCTCCCCACAAGCTTCTTCATAACACTCCATAGCTTCTTTCTCCATTCCCCTCATGAAATAGCCTTTCATTAAACCCCCATAAATCACCCCATCTTCCAAAACCCCATCTTTTTTCTCTTTTAACTCCTCAAAAAGCTTAAAAATCCCATCTGAATCCCCACTCTTGGCACAACCCAACATCAAATAACTATAAACAACAGGGTCAGGAGCCAAACCTTTCCCCACCATTTCTTCCTTCATTTCCAAAGCCTTCTCCAATTTACCATTATCCACCAACCCTTTCACTAAAATCCTATAAGTAGTAGGAGAAGGATTCACCGGGGACTCATTGCTAAACTGCTTGTAATGTTCGAGGGCAGTATCTGGTTTTTTACAATCAAGATAAGTTTGGAAATAAGATTGTGGGTTATCACATTGGGGCAATTCCGGCCGGGTAATGAAGCGGTGGAGGGAGAGGAGATCAGCGTATTTCGATTGGCGGAGCTGGGAGTTTAAGACGGCATTGACGGTGTGAATTGTGGGGCGGCAGTTGGAGTAAACGGAATGGCGAGTGTGTAGAGCGGCCTCTTCGAGGTCGTTTTCACGGATGAGTTTTAAGATCTTGTTGTGGAGGTTTAGGCGGTTGCCGGTGAGTACGGTGACGGGTTCGGGGATTTTGGGGGCGTTAGGGTTCTGGATAGGTTTTGATGGGGCCATCTGTTGTGCTGCTGCTGAGAGCGGTGGGCAGAGGAGAGGGGAGGTTCAACGCGGAGGCGACGCTTGCGCACGGCGGCGTTCGGCTGCGGCTTCTTCTGGGGTGTTGAAGGAGAGGTGGCGGAGGGTAATGAAGGAGGGAGGCGAACGGTGGTGGCGTTTGGCTAAATTTTTAAGATGCGTGAGAAAGGTAGGTTTGGAGAGAGCCATTTCTGTAAAGGCGAAAGAGAGGAAAGCAAAGGGTTTCTGTTTTGTTGATTGGGGAAACGGAAATAGGGGGGATTTCAGTGGCGATAAGTTGATAGGGTTCTGCTCAGGGTTTAAGGGTGCTGAAGTGATGAGTATTAGGAAGTGTTCGATCCACAGTGTCAGTCCATCACACTTTGAACTAGCACTCCCAACTCTGCCATAATACAGATACAACACATCTGTCCTTTTTAAAAGCAGAATGCGACATTCAAGATCATCGGTTGATCAATCCAAAAATGAAGGCTCCTATGGACTTGGGCCATGTGCATCAGATTTAGGGTAAGAACCAACAAGGCTCTGGGCCAACTTCATTGGATTGCCAACCCCTTCTTATCCAAATAACTCTCCTAATTTTCAAGTCTTATGGGCCTTAAATTCAAACTCATTTCCTGCCAAAAATAAGTTTGATTCAATTCAACTCGACAAATTTAACTCAAACAAAAGAAGAATCTGATTGTCTTGTGGCACATAGCAGGCAGCTAATTCTAAAATTTTCCAAGTTTTTAAAACAATTTATAGAATAACCATTCAAGGTGGAACATAAGAGAAGATAATCATCTCTAGCCATCATAAGCGTACAAAGTTGTGTGATAAGCACAAGGAATTATAATCAAAGTTTAATACGGAAATCATATATATAATAATAATTAGGTGGAACTGTTCCCTTTGGAGAAAAATATGAATTATTTAAAGGTTAGAAAATTGCTATACAGTCAACAAGTTAATATAGTGTATATGTGTTTTCAACTTTTATCACATATAACGCTTATATGATGTATGAATCTCGAGAAAAAAAAATTTAATATTTGTGGAGGATTTAAGAGAAGCGTCATAGCTTAATTATTTGATAATTTATCCATGTACTGGAGGGAGAGAGCTAGATTTGTGGAAAGGGAAAGAATGGACAAATGATTTTTCAAACTTAAACTAATTGAGGAGAGAAACCGACTGTTGATTACTAAGACAAGTCATGCACAAAAGATAAACATCAAATAATTAAACTATGAAGGGACCATGCCGAAGTATGACGTAATAGGAGATAAACAACAGGGAACCAAGTTGAACTTTGGCATTGATATATTAATTCCCACGTTGATTATATGATTTTCTTATCACCAAATGCACTCAAATTGCTTGATTAAGGTACGTGTGCACGCCATTGTCTATGACCACCCACCCTCAAATCTCTGTCAATAGAAATTTGTCTTCTTAGAAGAAACACAGCAGATTAATGCTATAAATTAGCAAGTGGGAAGGTAGGAGAAAGGGACTTGGACAATTACTTTAATATATGGTTGACAAATTTTAGGGCAGAATAAAGCCTACCAAGGATGTTTTAAAGCTTTGATGATATTTTTCTAATAGTCTCATTTTTGTCACGTGCAAGGTGCCGCCCAACCCAATGACCATGTGCCGAAAGCAACTAGCTAGGGAAACGACAGCCTACGGACCGGCGTTGAGCTGTGCAGGCGGTTTAGGCATCTGTTTTTGGATTTGGACGGGCGTGAGCTGTGAAATAAGTGAATCTCGTGTTGCCCTACCGATAAATTCGTCTAGTCATGCACGACTTTGTATCATATATTGATGGCGACCTCTGCTTGATTTGC